TCGGCCAAATTCGGCCAAATATAGTTTGGCCGTGACTTTTCAAACGTTACGGCCAGGCAAATTTTTATACGGCCAGATTTGAGGAATCTGGCCGTCAAAAAGGCCAAATGGCAACCCTGAACGCCTGAACATTATGGAACGCCGTTAGTATCTTCGGTTATGTGCCAACACCAGCGTGACCACTCACAATTTTTGATATACCCAATGACTGGGTCGAAATTACCCAAGATTCAGCAAAAATTGCCCAAAATTACCCAAGCTTCCTGAAAATGCATTAAAATTTGAAAAAAAAAACCCCGTGTTTTTCGCATGTATAGTTTCCCTTTTAGTTCAATTTATAAACCATTTTTTATTGTAATTGTTTGTGTTAATTATTAAAATTAATATTCATGAGGCGATAATACGGATAGAAAAATACGCCCTCAGTCGGCCAGTGTTATCAGTAGATCAGTGATCAAGTTTTATAATGTACTCTATAATTAGGCAAGATCAATGGCAACGCAAATCACAAATAAACAATTCTGAACCCATGTTTATAGCAATTAACAGTCAATCAACAATATTATGTGCGCTTCGTTGAGTTTTGCTTACTCGAATGGACTGAAATATACTTTACTTCTTATTATTATTAATTCTTCCTCTATGACAAAAATATTTAATTTTCTTAGTAAAAATAAAATACCCAAGGATTTGAACGGAATACTCAAGAACCCAAGACCAAGTCAAATACCAAAGATCTTGGGTAAATACCCAAGCAGTGGTCACGCTGGCAAACACTCTATTATGTGCAATCGCCATGACGTTATGTGGAATGGTCATGACGTTGGGATTTGGTCATGACGTTATGTGGTTTGGTCATTGTGTTATGTGGTTTGGTCATGATGCTATGTGGTTTGGTCATGATGTTATGTGGTTTCTCATTATGTTATGTGGTTTGGTCATTATGTTATGTAGTTTGGTCATGATGTTATGTGGTTTGCTCATTATGTTACATTATACTATGTAGTTTCGTCATGACGTTCGGACGTCCTTGTGAGTATGTGAAGAAGTGTAAATAAGAAGACGGCTGTACAAGTAAGCCTATATCAACTTTCATTTGTAACTTTTGATTGGTTGAGAGCGAGCGGGAAGACCACACTAGTTTTATTACCATCGCGCCAGTGTTTTATTAGTTTATCTACCACTGTCAACGGTATCACAAAAATAAAGAGCCAAAATCCATCAAGCAAATTCTTGAAGAACTGTCTCTGCCAGATTCATTCAAAGCATTTGAGAGATGAAAAGGTAATACAAATACTATTATTATTATTATTATTATTATTATTATTATTATTATTATTATTATTATTATTATTATTATTATTATTATTATTATTATTATTATTATTATTATTATTATTATTATTATTATTATTATTATTACATTATTAAGAAGACACAACAATAATTGTTACTTAACCAATATCCTGAGGCGCGTGGAACGGAGAGAGTAGTTCCCGTACGATTAAAAATCGTAACGGTACTGGGTTTGGTCTACAGGATCGTGCTTCGAACAGGTCATTCCATTCATAGAAGAAGCCTTTTGATGGAGAAAGTGTACCCTTTTAGCAAAGGTTTGTCTGTCGAAACTATCTCCAGCTATATAAAATTGATTATAAGATTGAAAAATATTAATCTTTCTTATTATTGTAGTAGTGATACTATGTGCACGTTTTAATTATTGTTATTTAATCGTTAACGTCATTATATTTATATTTAAATTTAATGTATTGTTTAAGTATAAATTACTATGTCCATGTAAAATTAATCTTATCTATTAAAATTGTATATTTTAAATAATATAGTAATAGGCATAGCAGGTCTAGTCTAGGCTAGGCCTAAACAAGTGAATATATCATATAACATTATGAAAAATATGAATAAAACCTAAAATTGTGAAAGAATAAAGGAAGAAGGAAGAATAGGTAAGAGATTTGGAGCGGCTGAAATATTTTCAGAAAATATACAATAGTAGTCAATATGCTTTTATTGCATTACGTTTTTGTAAACAATTTTGGGCACTAATCGTCAGAGGTCTCAGTGCCACAGCCTACACTTTCCATAATTTGAAAATACGTGATATAGGCAATGTCTGAACAGGCATAAAAAGTGCTAGGCCAATATTTTTTTATAAATAAAGCTTGGTTCCCACTTGCAGAAAAACTGCCGCAACGTAAGGAAATGCTCTTCCGGCAATTTTGTATCCCCCTCCTTTTACGGAAAGTTGAGTTTACACTTCTTACGTGACGCAACGTAAGAAAATTGGTACGGTTCCCACTTGATTTCCACTGGGAGCTTTCAAAAGCCGTTATGAAAATATCATTCATTGTAAGGCTACCAATGACTGGGTTGTGTTCTGAATAGTCTTATTACTTATCGCAGGCCTGGCTGGGTTAGACCTTAATGCTTTAAATTTAATCGATTTTTGCAATTGTAATAATCCTGAAAAAAAAAAAATTATTATAAATCAACAATTATAAATTTTTCCCAGATATAGGCGCACCTAGATTAGGCCTAGAATTCGTGTTAATAAATATACAGTTTGCACTTATTTACTGTAATTATTAACATAATCATTATTATTATTGTTTTATTGTATTAATTTGACATATTAAATTAAATATACAGTACATTGTTTGCTTAATGTTTAATTACAAATTGTATGACATTTTCATGTTTTTGTAAATCTAGGATTTAAATTTTGTTTACTCAGATCTGTATAACAAGGCCTGAATATATTTCCTTAACATATGATTACATACTGTATATTAAGACCAACATAAAAAGCTTAAATGAGAGTCAAACAGAGTGTGAGACTCAGAAAAATATACCAGGATTTTTTCGACGGGGTAGGGGGTGGGGACCAAAAATAGTTGGCGTGGTCGGATCTCTCGAAAGTGTTCCAGGGAGGCGAAGCCCCGTCATATATGCTTATGATTAATAATGGGTTTCAAATTCTTATTTATTGTAATCGATTTTAGAGGCTACTAGTTATGTAGAAAATACACTGGTTTGTTGTTCTCCCCGACGACTTGTGGTTTATCTCCCTGACGGGGGAGGGGGCCCTCCGGCCCTGACCCACCTGGCTTCACCCCTGTGTAATATATATATAATAGTTTTTGAAGAACGATTGGGTAAGATGCGTTGCATATTATTATAAATATTAATGTGTACAGTATTATATGCCATTCAGTAGAAGAGCACCGTAATTGGCTCTCTCAAAACCAGGCTAGGCTTGGCTTGGCTTGGCTAGTCCAGGCCAAGCTATGATAGGTTATCATAAGAGGCTATGATAATAATAACAGCTCATTATGTTATGTAGTTTCGACATGACGTTCGGACGTCCTTGCGGAGTATGTGAAGAAGTGTGAATAAGAAGACGGATGTACAAGTAAGCCTATATCAAGTTTCATCAAAGATAATAAATACTCCGCAAGGACGTCCGAAGTCATGTCGAAACTACATAACATAATGTGCAAACCACATAACATAATGAGCAAACCACATAACATCATGACCAAACTACATAACATCATGACCAAACTACATACATCATGACAAAACCACAAACATAATGAGAAACCACATAACATAATGACCAAACCACCGTAAACGTCATGACCTAATCCCATAACGTCATTACCATTCCACATAACGTCATGGCGATTGCACATAATAGAGTGTTTGCACATAACCGAAGATACTAACGGCGTTCCATAGAACACTGGATATACTCCTTCCTTCCGTTCCTGCAAGCAAAGAGTACAGTATTATAACAGAAGAGAGTCCACTCAGACTGTGGATTTTCCCATCGCGATTAAATCGTAACGGTAACATTCGTGCTTTGAACCAGGGGAGGCGCCAGTGTGGAGGCGCCAGTGTGGAGGGAAGGGGAGGGGATTAAGGTCCCCTTATCTGTCTGGTCAAGCCCACCCATCGGCCAAAGCCTGTCGGTAGTCGGACCAAAAAAAAATAAGCCTAGTTTTCCCATCAAAGTACGTAGGGCCCCAGTACGTAGGACCTGTCCGGGAGGGGGGGGGGGTTTGGTGCTTAAGCCCCCTTGCCCCTCCACTGCTCAGCAATCGCTTCGTTTGCAGGGTCTGTCTGATCAGTCAAGCAGAACATAATGGTGAATCGAGTTTAATTCACGTCTTAATGCTTTTATGGATACATTAAAATAGTGTTACAGTTGAAATTAAGTACAATTGACTGTATATAGTAACAACTAACAATTTTATATTAATTATCCACTTGTATTTTTCAAGGCTGACAGTGCCATTTCTGGCTACCTAGAAGCCCCAATAAAAAAAAATCTCGTTCTGGGAGGAGGCCACACCCCCTCCCCCTATGCCAAACCCTGGCTGAGGCATTCGAAGAACGAACTCCTAGTAGACCAAACCCAGGACCGTCACGATTTTGAATCGTGCAGGAAATTTTTATTTTTTTCTTCTTTATATAGAGGCCTGAAGAATGAGATAAAATTACTGATCTTTTCAAGAGGGAAAAAACCTTTAATTTTGAAGAACTTAAAGGTCATTAAAAAAAAACTCTAGAAGTCGGGAAAGCTCATTTCCGGCCTAGGAATCATAAATTTTCCATTTTCAACCACCCTCTTTCAAATCCTGGATCCTCCCCTGATTATAATGTGGGTGCTAATATCACAGACAGTGCCTGTGTCACTAACAGTTGGATGGATCTTATTAATAGGTCCATATGGATGGATGATTTTTTTTTCTCATTTATCATCATAAATCCGGGATTTTAAGGTATATCAAGATGGATGTTTTCCTCATCATTACCTTCATTTGCTTGTGAAAGTATTTGATACTAAATAAAGTATAATATATTGAAAGTTACTTTGGTGTTTCCGACTATTTTTTGACTACTGTTTTATACATTAATTTGTTTGACTGAAGAGATAACGTTATATTTACATACCAGACTGTGGAAGGGCTGGGGAACATAGTCATAGTCAAAGCAAACACATCATTAACTATATGTTCTCAATTAATAAAAATTACATATATCGAATACCAATGCATGGATGGATGATTGTTTATAATTAATAATATCTTCTAGTACGGAGGCCAATTAAATATTATTTTTCTTATATACTCCCATCAGGCTTTTTCTTTTATCAAATTCAAAATACTATTGTGATTTAAAGTAAACATTCAAAAAACCCACAATACATAGCATATTTTCCAATAATGTTATTCTTATAAAGTCTTGCCTTTATATTTCGTTGAAAAAACGGATATAATAATTTTCTGCACTCTTTTCCAAATACAGGTCTTATAAATCACTGTATTTAAAATACAAATGTTACACGAAAATCAACTGTCATTTGTTTGAAATTGAAGAAATTAAATGATATACACAGAACAGTGTTAATATTTCACTGATTTTGTTTTTATAATTAATCACCATAATTTATGCCCAGCTATAGAATCATAATATTAAATAGGCCTATGTTCTATAATTAGTTGCTAGCATGTAGGCCTATTTAAAGTCACATTACTGTCTTAAGATTAATAAATATTAATTAATATTAATTAAATAACATACATTGTAGTCGATCTATAGCAATAATTGTTATCGAACCTTCGATGACAAATCCGTAGCTCTCATTAGAATGAAAGTTACTTTAGTAAGGTAACACAAACCGGTGTTAAAACAAACCTATGAAAACTGTAATAAATACTTTTTATCTAAACTTTCTAAATTCGCCTCTGAATATTATTGATCTGTTCAACCAAGAAGCTCTGTGGTCTAATGGTTGACGCTCGCCTTGACAGCGAGAGGTCGTAGTTTCGAGTCCCGCCAGAGGCATTTGATTACACAATATCTTTTAATTTATTTAGAGGACTACATTCGTTGCGAGCTATGCTACATAATGTATTATTATGTCCTTTATTCGAGCACTGTATTTACCTTTCCTTGATGATTTATATATAATTTAATAGTGTTAACAGTTATCTTGATTTATATTACAGTATATGCAACTATGCTATTTGTTTCTAGACGTACCTGTTGTGTAATGGAGTGTATCTGGTGGTACAGTATTTGGATCTGTACAACCATGAAGCCTCTGTGGTCTAACGGTTATGACCATCGCCTTGACAGCGAGAGGTCGCAGGTTCGAGTCCCGCCAGAGGCATTATTACACAATTTCTTTATTCATTTATTTACAGGGCTACATTCGTTGAAAGCTATGATACACGATGTAATATTATGTTTTATATAGTGATTTCAGTATTAAATTATTATAAATAACGAAAATCGCTCCGCTAATTATTTATACATAATTGTTGTTAAGTTTAATTATTTATAAATAATTACTTTATTATTTATATATAATAGTTTTTTAGGTTAATTATTTATAAATAATTACATTAGTAATTATTATTCTTATATAATGGTTTTGTAAAGTGTTATCTACAAATAACAAACTTATCCAAGTAATTATTTATATATAATAATTTTGTCTTTTACATTATTTATAAATAATTTAAACTTACAAATACAGTATTTATAAATAATGAAGGTTTGAACATTTTTATTTACATTTAATTTTTTTAAATGTTGATTTATAAATAATTATTTGGTTTGGTTATTTGGTTTTAAATAATTATTTTTATATAAATGACTATGTTATATAATGAATTATATATAAATAATTTGACTAAATAATAAATTGAAGCAGTTGTTTATTACTGGACAGCATCTTGTCCATTCAGTCATGAATAATGTAGCTCTTTTGCCTTATATTTTTTATATGTAACACAATGTTTACTCTGAATGTATTTATAAGACACGTCAGTGACACAAACATCATGGTTTTGTTTGCTACCACAGGAACGGTGATTCAAAATAAAGAGGAAAACGAAGTGTATTCAGTCTAGAGAGAAACACACATCTCTCTTTCAACAGTCAGTGCACCTGGTTCTGGCAGCACCACCGGGCAGAATAGTATTGAGAATAGTGTTGCTTTCATTTAGCTAATATAACTTTTGGCATAATCTAGCACAATTTCCTATAAGCCCTAGCATAATTTGATCCACATGGATGATGGGTATGGAACGCCAAAAGGACACACGAGTGGCAGTACTGTAGTGCAAAAGTCAAGTGGCACAGTGCAAACTCAAATGTGTGTGCCACCACTTGACTTTCACAGGTACAACGTACAAGTGACACTGTGCAACTTGACTTTTGGCGATATTGTATGGAATGCCAATTTGGCACAAAAATCAATATAAACAACAAAATAAAGGAATGAAACAATCATGTTAGCAATCCTTCTAAAAGTAGTGTCCGGTAGCATATACCAATTAGAATTTTACTTAGGTGATTTTTAGGAACCAAGGGTTAAGCCCACCTGTGTTTGACCCTAATCACACACTGATCTCTGTCGGAAGTTGTCAGATAGCCGCCCCCCCCCCCCCCCCCCCCCCCCCCTTCCCCTTCTTTCTTACCGGGCTGAATCCTTCACTGTCACACATCTTAAAAAAGTAAAAATTTATACTCCTAGGTCAAGATACACACTTCTTTACAGCTCATGGTACAATTGCAAAAATTTTTTTAAAAGAAAACTTGATATGCTCAATGATAAATTTCATCAAAACTTAACAAGATTTTAATCATTACCTATTTTTATCTACCATATCTACTAAGACAATTTTCCTACATATATATAAATTTGTTAACTGTACAGTAATTAAAATTAAGTCTGAATCACATAATGTATTTCATTCAATACATTACCTATAAGTAAGAAACTCAGAGTTGGATCTTTTCTCGCAGATATTTCTCAATTGAAAGCTTTACGAAGCTGTAGTATTCTACATTGATGATACAGCGGCCTATAACAAAGCACCTAAGAATCAGTCTGTTTGACAAGTATAAACTTGTTTCCCAGTTAGCATATAATGGAACAACACAAGTGAACAAAGAGAAATTTATAAACTATCTGTTTCGGTAAAAACAGTACCTGTTAATACAAAGTTGTGTACACTACGTCGGAAGATTTCATGAGAATGCGATGTGACGAGTTGCACAATGACATACTTCGACTGCCACCAAAAGTCGGCAGACCATTTTTCCATCAGGCAAGTGTTTATACAAAGTGCGGGAGAATTAGGGAACTATCGATTTGCAACGCAGAACATTGAAAGTAATGATGTCATGTTAATTTACCTACGCATGTCCGAACGTTGTGCATTATATTCTTGAAATCTGGAACTGTTCTTAGCCGAATCTGTTCTATGTTCTCAATCGAAAGTTCACTAATATTAGACTGTTAGACTCAAAATCTTTGATCAGATTTTGAATGTGTATTTTTGGTTCCAACATATTTGATGAAACAAGTTTTGCACCTTTCTACCTTTGTAAGTTGGATACTGTTCTTCTCCATCGACGTTTGATCAAAAATTAATGTTTTCAGATAAAAGTCTCTGATAGTACAGTATGTCATGATTAAGTGATCATTCCCTTTTCAGTACAAATAAAAACTTGATGATGTTTAATCTGAATCTTCATTTACTTTTTCCTTCTTTTGCTTCTTTTTTTTTCTTCTTTTCTTTTACTTCTGAGTTTCCTTCCTCCTTAAAAAAAAAAAAAAAAAAAAAGATTAAACTTAACTATTAGTTTATTTGGAATGCCTATTTATTTTGTCATTTAAAAGCCAATATATCAATAAAAAACTTGGAATGTCTGTAATGCTAAGGCCTAACTGAAACAAATTCTGTAAGTACATTAAATGAAAAATCCACATACAGTAGAATACCTACTAAGGGGACACCTTCAGGACAAAGTCCCTGGAAGAAAGGGTTGGCTGTAGTGTTAAAAGATATACTTTACTTTGTTTTGTGGCCAAAAAATTATCCTCTAATAGGGGTGTCTTCAAGGAGGGGTTCTACTTCCTTTGTAAAATGGTTTCTAATCACTTTTGGTTTTACAGTAAGCTAAGTGAAATCATACCTCTGTGTTTTCTTCCATTTTTTCCTCCGCAATAGTTTCGTCTGTATCCCTTTTCTACTGTACTAGCATGGCAGAAATGCTTTCAGAAGAGAAGATAGCTTAGTCCTTTCACCCTCCCCTCTCCCTCCTTCATTTGGCAAATCATGGTGCCCAGTTATATTTTAGGGATTCATAGGATTGGTCATAGAGTAATGTGCTACAAAGTCTCACAACATCTTAAAATTGGCCCAACATTTGAGGAAGCAAAAGTTATCCCCACCCTTGTTTCACCCTCATCACACACATCTCTGATTGAGGTTGTTGGATAGCTTAGTCCTTTCACCCTCCCCTCTACCTCCTGCATTTGGCAAATCATGATGCCACCCCTGATAACCACACAACCTTCTTCACCTTGTGTACCTTGTACACAGATCAATACATTTAATGCCACACATCCATGCTAAAAAGTAAAAATCAAAGATAAACTCAAATTAATGAAGGTGCTATAGGGTTAAGGGAGGTTTCCCCCATGCACCCCTACCACAGGCTCTCCCCTACCAGGGGCTCTTCCCTGAGACTCTCACTCAGTTCGCAAATTCACTCCACCTCTTTCTTACCATGGCTGGATCATTCCCCTCCCACACATCTTTAAGTGAAAATTTATATTCCTAAGTGAAAATACACTTCTTACAGCTAATAGTACAATTGCAAACAAATTTTAAAAAGAGACCAAACTAAAATACAAAAAAGAATTGAGATATGTCTTAATGCTAAATTTTCATCAAAATTTACCATGATTTTAATTACAGTATTACCTATTTTTATCTACCATATCTACTAAGACAATTGTCCAACTACATATGTATAAAGTTTTTAACTGTACAGTATTTAAAATTAAGTCTGAATCACATGATGTTTTTCATTCAATCAGCATACATTACCTAAACAAGGAGTATAAACCTGCAAGAGGTCCGACTCGAGGGGATTCACTGAAACGTAAGGTTTAGCTCTATTCGAATTCTAATAGGCTGCCCCCATCTCGTGATAGTACTTTTTTTAACGTTTCACTGTGTGCATAAAATATCAGGGTAGTTTGACATCTTGCAATTCTGTGCTCTTTGCTGGAAGAGTGTGCATTTATGGTTACTTTCCCACGAAGCACAATCCAAATTTATGGTAAAAAAAATAAAGTTATTAGTTAATATATCCACCACTACAAAAATATTGGAATGTTTGTAATTAAAAAATTGGGAAAAAAGCAACTTTAATGTTAGAATTCTAAAATTTGAAAACAAACATTTCTTGGTAAAATGTACCGTTAACAAACTCAGAGTTAGATCTTTTCTCGCAGATGAAAGGGAATATAAAAGTTCATCCACGATATTTCTCAATTGAAAGATTTACGAAGCTGTATTACTTAACATTGATGATACAGCACCCTCTAACAAAGCACCTAAGAATCAGTCTGTTTGGCAGGTATAAACTTGTTTCCCAGTTAGCATATACTGGAACAACACAAGTGAACAAAGAGAAATTTATATCTATTCATACGCTACACATAAACTATCTGTTTCGGTAAAAACAGTTAATACAAAGTTGTGTACACTACGTCGGGAGATGTCACGAGATTGCGATGTGACGAGTTGCACAATGACATACTTTGACTGCCACCAACAGTTGGCAGACTATTTTTCCATCAGGCAAGTGTTTATACAGAGTGCGGGAGAATTTGGGAGCTTTCGATTTGCGACGCAAAACATAGAAAGTAATGCGTCATGTTGATTTACCTACGCATGTCTGAACGTTGTGCATTACATTCTTGAAATCTGGAACGGTTCTTAGCCGAATCCATTCTATGTTTTTGAATCGAAAGTTCAAATTAGACTGTTAGACTCAAAATCTTTGATCAGATTTTGAATGTGTATTTCTGGTTCCAACATATTTGACGAAAACATGTTTTGCACATTTCTACCTTTGTAAGTTGGACACTGTTCTTCTTCATCAATGTTTGATCAAAAATAAACATCTGTTTTCTAACAGATAAAAGTTACTAATAGTACAGTATGTCATGATTAAGTGATCATTCCCTTTTCAGTACAAATAAAAACTTGATGATGTTCAATCTGAATCTTCATCTACTTTTTCTTTCTTTTGCTTCTTTTTTTTCTTCTTTTTCTTTACTTCTGAGTTTCCTTCCTCCTTAAAAAAAAAAACAAAAAAAAACAAAGCTTAACCTTAACTATTAGTTAATTTAGAATGCCTATTTATTTTGTCTTTTAAAAGCCAATATATCAATAAACAACCGGGAATGTCTGTAATGCTAAGGCCTAACTGAAACAAATTCTGTAAGTACATTAAATGAAAAATCCACATACAGTAGAATGCCTACTAAGGGGACACCTTCAGGACATACAAACTCCCCTGAATAGGGGTTGGCTGTTGTGTTAAGAGATATACTTTACTTTGATTTGTGGCCAAAAAAATTATCCTCTAATAGGGGTGTCTCAAAGGAGGGGTTAAACTTCCTTTGTAAAATGGTTTCTAATCACTTTTGGTTTTACAGTAAGCTAAGTGAAATCATACCTCTGTGTTTTCTTCCGTTTTTTCCTCTGCAATAGTTTCGTCTGTATCCCTTTTCTTTTTCTTCTTATCTTTCTTTTTCTTTTCCTTCTTCGGTGTTTCTTCAGTGGCTTTGTTACTTCCCTCACTACTATTAGATTCTGTTCGTTTACGTTTTTTCATTGGCGTAGCTTCGACTTCATCTGTTTTGGATGGTTCTTCAGTTTTCTTTGCACTGTTAAGAAATTATCCAATGTTACAAACATTTCTTGCCAATAACAACAAACAAAAGATGCCAAACACAATACTTAAATTAAATTCAAGTGCAACTGAGGATGAACACTCGTGTGAAATTATGGATATGAAAAATTTTTAATAATATATAAATATAAAAATAATGCCAATGTGAATATGGAAGTTTAATACAAATGACTATAAAACCTAAAGAACATGTATGGATAGACAAGAACATAAACAAAGAACTACACACAATGTGTGTGGCTAAACACACTGTACTAGCATGGCAGAAATGCTTTCAGAAGAGAAGGTATTGAATGGGTAGTTGTGTGCAGAAAAAGTGTAGGAAGGCATATATTGCCATACGTCAACTCAATTGAAATGAAAAACAATGATTTTATTCTCCCTATTTCAACAGAGACATCTGGAGGGAAGCATAGTTAAGATAAGATAAACTTTATTGTCACCATCTCTGCAAGCAGATATGACACACTTAAAATACGGACAACATTTAGGTGCATTCATGAATAACACTTTATGATTATGCGCGTCATACTATAGTATATCTGCGCCAATGGAGAGGATAAAATTGGAAAATATATATACATCATAATAAAGTATCTACCTGTAGTCCTCGTAGCTCTCGGTCCAGGATTTTGGCGTCTTTTCATTTACTTTACCATGTTTGTCCAATAAACCTTGTTTTACCATTGTTTTTTTAATGCTAGCCTAGAAAATTGTGTTGAAAATAAATTATCTTGGTTATTAAAATGGTTTAAGCATTTCACAAACTGTATTCTGCAATGCCATGAAGCAAAGCCATATCGATTTGGTGACAGAAATGTTGTACGGGTTACACTACTACAACTATATACCATTATGTAGAATGTATATTTTGTTATCCTAAAAGAAACTGTGACAGACGTTATGCAGGAAATCACAGAAGGATCAAAAAGGCATAAATTTGGATACATGTGAGGAAGACTTCTGTCTCTTTATTTCTCAATTGTGTTATTTAGTCAGCCCCTTTTGTGCTATTCTTTACAGTCTTGTGATGCCATTTAGTGGCTTTATCTCTGTACTCCAAAACCATCCTCAGATTCAACTGCTTATTCAGCTTAACAAGCTACTAAGAGCCTGTGGTATGTGTTGGTTTTTTCTTTAATTGGCCTTAAGTATTTCTATATCCCAGTAATGTGTAGAGAATATGAATAGATCTTTATTTTGAATATTTAAATTAATTTAAAAAAAAGGTAACATTACCTTTGGTCCTAAGCCCCATTTACGAGGATATGTGTCGCGTTCCATAATAACCCTCTTTAGCTTTGCCGCAAGTCCATGATCACATGTGGCCATAACCGCTGTTGTCATCAGAGCGACACCAAGTGCAATAGCTTCACCTTTTGTGGTCATGATTACTATCTCAGAGTTAAGCTCAATGCCGTCTTCAAAACGAAGTACACCAGGTAACATGACCTTTGCCCCATAGCAGATAGCATTCACCTGGAGGAAATAAATTTAACATTAATATGGTTAAAAATTATATAAATAATATAGTCTAGAAATGGTATTTTTAAAACAAGGATTTTTTCATTAAATATAAAATGAATTTACAAACTGTATGTTAAATTGAACTAAATTGAATTGAAATTGTGTGGAGCTTACTGGTTTAAAATGCTCACTTTCAGGGTCATGGGCTCAATCAATTAAAATTTTAATTACTAAAATAACGACTGCACATCTTAAACCTCTTCATGAGACTTAAACCTGTCCAGACTATTATTATTTGACAAAAACATGCGACATGCCTAAATATGGTCATGATGTGATATCACATCATGACCATATATAGGCATATCATGACTATATTTGGGCATACAACAGTACAACAAAAGAAAATTTGATAATTTGGACAGAGCTTTGAACTTGCTGTTGAATGCGATGGAAATCAAACACTTACAGCACTGTCCTTAACAACGACCCTTTTGTGCGAAGTTAGGAGGCCCTCTAGTGGCTTAATTACTCTTCGTAGATATTCTTCATCTTTATGGTTGTCATGAACCCACTGGGCATCAAGTACATCGTGCATTGTCACTAAACCCTCCTGAAAAATGAAACTTAAAATGAGAAAAACAACTAAAAAATCCTCACAATGCATTTACAGATTATGAATATGGAATCTGAATACAGATTATTAAGAAATCTGAACACAGTCATAAATATGCATAAATTTGAAGAATGATTTAAATTCATAAGGTATAGATGTAATAAAATGACATGTTACCTTTTCTGACTGGATACCGGACCGCACTCGTCTAAGTTCTGCCATCTGTGCTCCTACTCCCAACAACAGCCCAAGGTGAACACACAGTGTCCTCACATATGTACCTGCTTCACAGCTCATCCAGAATATACCTGATATGTATAAGACAAATAATTATTAACCTCCAAAGGCTTTATTTTTAACCACGGAAATAACATAGGTCAAAATCTTAATATTTAAAAACTGGGGAGGGGAGGGAGAAAAGGGGCAAAATCACCCTGTTTTTAAGTATTGAATAGTCTGTATCCCCTATGGGGCCTGAGTGTGTGTTCCATATGTGCTTGATCCAGTGATCCGGGGTAATAATGTTCAGCGCATAGAGAAGTTTGATATGCGCTATATAAGTATACAATAATAATAATAATAATAATAATATCTCATTAACCCCTTCTGAGTTTTTCGTAAAATTAGCTGTTCATGTTGTACAACATATCAAAAACACTTTTTCCTCTAGAGCCTGGCTTTAAGCATGCTTTAAGTAATTTACTTAAGTTGCCACAGTGAGGTTTGCAAACATGATTTTTGGTGGCTTTGTTAAACAAATAAAGAAATAGTTAATAGCAACTTGAACCATACCAAGGTGTCTCTCTGAATCATATTCAATTAGTTTACTATCATAAACTGTCCTGACACGTAGTTGTCGCTTTACAGCTGATATTAAAGGTGGCCTTTGAAAGAGGGCGCCCTGTAGCGTCTCAATTGCCTAAAAAAACAAACAAGAGATAAAATATATTAACACTGTACGGCAATACAAAATGAACTTCTGCACATTGTAATCATTAGATTATAAATGCAAGATTACCATGATTTTGTAACTTGGAAGGTTCTTAGAAACGGTGTAGTACTTTGCTGACATGACCTGACCACAGGTTGAAGGGTCAAAAGAAAATTTTATTCAACATAACCAAGTCATAAACATAGTACAAAAAATTTCAAGACAACTCTTTAAAATTATTCTTGTTTAGCACTTGTAATACATCCACACAGAGTATGAAATCGATTTAGATAATGACACTTGAGTACAAAAATTATGCATAAAGTTGAACATCCTGTGCTTCCCAAGCAGTATTCTAAGTCACGCTTGAATGAGCATATGCAAATGATTTTAAGCTCTTGAACAAATACTCAAATCTTCTTATAAAATAATTGCAGCCTTACCCTTGACAGAACAGTCTGGTCTTCAATGGCACTGTGTAGACGGATCACAGCGACATACTCTTTGCCTGGGAAAATCAGCAATCAAGAAAATAATTATAATTTGTAGGAAAATTATAACAATATTAATATTAAGAACTAAAATATGGTAGCTGTGTTAGTAAGAAAATAATAAAAATAAAAAGATAAAGTAAAAAGAATTAAAAAAAAAAGATCTTACAAAACACATTACTGATTTCAATGCATTACCAAGAAGTTAATTTAATTACAGTAATTTAAAATACATTTTAATGAATGCTGGTTGACAGTGTTGGGTTGGGCTTCAAACAGTAACAGGCCAATCATTGGTTTATTGTTGCTCAGGGGCAGATCCAGCTTTTGAAAGAGGGGGGTTCAATTTTGATTCCTAAATGGCCGGAAATCAGCTTTCCCAACTTCTGAGGAGTTGTTTAATGACCTTTATGTTCTTCAAAATTCAAAGTTTTCCCAGTCTTGAAAAAGGTCAGGTAATTATATCTCATTCTTTAAGCCTATACACAGAGAAAAAAAAAATCAAAAACATAAGGAATATATTATTATATTCCAACAATACTGAGTTGTTGGATACGTAGTATTTCTTCCATCGATCGATGAAACAAAAGGCCTGAAGAACGCTTTTGTACATAAATTATTACGACGTTGAACCAAAAACAGTGTGTATAATTTTATTTAACTGAATGCTAGTGGGGCTAAGACTAGTTTGTCTGATCTGCCAACCTATGCCTAGATAGGTTATCATGCCTTTTGTAAGCCAGGACCCAGTAGCATTTTCTTATGTTCCTTCACAGAGGGGAGTTCGTCCGAGCCTCCTGAACCCCCCTGGATCTGCCACTGTTGCTCCTACATATACTGTACTAACATGCCAATCAGTGTTTCAATACTACCCATTATTATGTTAGATTGGGTGTTACACTAACAGGCCAATCATTGGTTGAATACTACACATTATACTGTTAGATTAGTAGTTTTAAAGAGTAACAGGCCAATAAGTGGTTACTTACAGCTCAATATAAACACTAAAAGGCCAATCAGTGGTTCAGTACTACTCATTATCCTGTTAGATTGGGTGTTTCAAACAGTAACAAGCCAATCATTGGTTCATTGCTGCTCAACACAAACACTAACTGGCCAATCAGTGGTTCAGTACTACTGATTATCCTGTTAGATTGGGTATTTCAAACATTAACAGGCCAATCATTGGTTTATTGCTGCTCAGTACAAACACTAACAGGCCAATAAGCTGATTGATAGAAACATACAGGATTAAAATCCTGCCTTGCCATAAAATATATTAAAATCAATTTCAATACAGGACAGAAAAAAAATTAATATAAAAAGTATTAACCTGCACTTTGCTGGGATTTGACCAATCGCGTTGCTCGTTCAATGCAAACAATCAGACACCCTGTGACTTTTGGATCCAGTGTTCCACTGTGCCCTGTTTTTTCAACTCGTAAGATTTTCTTAATCCATGAGACAACTTCATGCGAGGACGGATTTGCAGGCTTGTCTAAATTGATGAAACCACTCCTGAAATGAAAACACCACAAATAGAAGAATGGTGAAAGAAATCAAAATGTACGATCTTAAAAGAAAAGTTTAAAATGAAAAAAAATAATATTTCATTAGCTGATAGATATGGATCAAAAATGTTATGAAACTATCACTACATACCTGTAGTATTATTGTGGGAACAAAAAAAGGGGGAGGAGATAAATGTAGGTAGATAAATATAGACAGAATAGAGCAACACAGTACAGAAGACAGAAAAGCGTGGAGAATGGATGGAAAAACCAACATAAAAAAACAGCATTATGTTAACCAATCGGTATACAATACTGATATACAATAGTCATAGTCATATACATTTATATAGCGCCTTTCTTTGCAGATACGAAGCGCTTCTCTCCTTGGTCATTGTATCCACATGCTGAAGTGTTGCTGCTATATTCAGCGCAGGAGCAAGCAACCCCACCAGGTACCAATTTATACTCCTGGGTGGAGAGAAGCAATGCAGATAAAGTGCCTTGCTCAAGGACACAAGCGAAATGCACAGCGAGGAATTGAAACCCCAACCTCAAGGTTGGGAAACCAAACCTGTCACGCTGCGCCAAACCGCTTCTACATAGCAGTATATAATAAAATTTTGTAAGCTCACCCAACATAATCCCTAATATCGCGCTTCAGCGGTGAACAACCACATGGGAGGGGTGTGTAGTGGCCAGTACGGACGTTTAGAGTTTGATAGTTCTTCAACAACAGTGGCCATTGTGACGTTTCAAGCTTGGTGACTTGTGACGAGGGCGGTATCAGAAAATCATCTTGAAGTTGAGAATCCTGGAGGAATAATGTGTGACATATTATTTTTATTGAACCAATCAAAAAACAAGTTTTTCATTTGAATGTTTTTTTTTTACCTAATTATATGAACCAGATTTTACAAAAATAAATGTACTGGAACCATGAATCACAGTCAAATTACAATAGGCTATATCTCAATAGTAAAATCATTAACCATTACTTAAATGAGATTTTCAGCCTCTATTATTTGTAAATTATCATTCATCCCCATCATCATCACCACCTCCCAAACATTAATAATAATAATAATAATAATAATTTGGGATTTGTATAGGTTTTGACTGCTTCATAATAATAAATCATCATCAACATATCATGTAGGACACAAATCACTACAGGGTATTAGGTCCTCCTCACTGAGTGGGATTATGTTCCAACTATTTAATGCAAGTCTGTGTCATCTCTCCTGTACCCTTGAAGCTATGATTCCCTTAGACTGCCACCAACAATCAGCATGCACAGTTAAGGTATCAAGTGCCACACACACAGTATGGCTGATGCACTGTGTGCCTGGCTTAACACACTGTTCACACATTTGTTTTGTTTTTGTCGCAAACAATTTTTGTTTGGAATTTTGGATTTGAAATTGATGGTATATGTTCAGCAGGTACTCACAGCTACTGCTGCTAACTTCTTCTTTTCCTTTTTCTTCTTTGATTCTGTAATAAAAAAATACACATACACAGAATTAAATAAAATTTGACTAGGCCTACTGTACACCTACAATAAATCTGAAATTCAGTCTAATTTTAACAACTGTAAACAGTGGCATACTGTATGGGCAGTTCAGTCAGTGCAAAGCACCCCATTCAGGGGTCCAATATTTTTCAATTAGTGAACACTTGGCTTAATTTTGTTTAGGTTCGTGTGCAAAAAAAAAATTCTCATTTTTTCGTCACCGCGAAGACATTGTGCACCTCGATGAAAATTGAATTGTAAAATTACTTTCATTAAACAAGCTTAATTCGAACCCGAAGAAATTTACTTCAAATCCAATATTAAGTATGAACAATTAAGGAATTCATCGAATCAATGGACCCTCATAAACAAAATAAACTGAACGTTTAATAGGAATATTCTAGACCTATTTGAAAGACTCACAGAACAAATTTAGACATACCAGTAGGCCTACAGCCAGACAGGAGGCTGCCCAGGCCTCCTCTTATTAGGCTGTAGCCTAGCCTAGTTATGAAATCATCGCACGATTAAAATTTTTACCCGTCTGCAGGCATCGACCAAAAAGGTCAGTGACTGTATTTCGAATGCTGAAATGTTTATTTCTTTATCTAAAATAGCATTACACACAAGTTCTTTTTTTAACACTAATACAAATTACAATAGTACAGTAGTTATTCATCGTATCCATACTGTACTGCGTACTGCTGATGTGATAACACGTACTGCAGGAGCAAAAATCAGCATACAGTATGCACAGTTAAATGTAAATATGCACACATATACTCATCATATCATTATAGCAACCGATGATCAGTGGTGTATTCAAGGGTGCCCCAGCTGGATCCCCTATTTTTTTTCAAAATTATAAAAGAAATGGGAGAGAAAATGGTCCGGCGATCAAGAGGTGCTATAATCATAAATTTTCTTACCTCAGCCCCAACCATGGTTACTTTACTCTCACCTGTGAAAATCCCTCCCTGCCCTCTATTTTGAATTCCTGACCCAGGCCACTGCAATTGTTCAATTTTATGTGCCACCAATTTTCTTGATTAGTTTAGCTGCTGAGACCGAATATGCTCTTCTTTAAATGGTTACGATCCAATTATCATTAGTATTCATTTAGCTTAGGCCTTTAGGAGGAGTACGGGGTAAAAAAAGCACTTCTTACGATGAACTTTCTGAGAATTTTAAGAATTTCCCCTTTTACATCAAAGGGCTGCGCAATTAATCTTGCACTGGGCCCCTTTCCCACCTAGCAGTGCTGCTGACTTAAAAATTCTTCAATTGTGCAAGGGATACATTGAGAACTTAATTGAGTTAAAACTCGCTAGGAATCGTATTGCGCATAATACATGGTTACCATATACACCAGCTTAAGATGATACCTCAAAAACCAGCTCAAATTTGTGCAGAAAATCACTAGGAAATTAGGTGCTTGGAAATGTAATTACTGCATAATAGGTCTACCTAAGCCTTTATTGTTTATATATTAAGATTTTCTCAAAGCCTAATTTTGGGTAAAAAATCTGTGAGGAAATTGGCCTTTATTTTCAAAAATGCGCGTACTCATTTTTAGTAGTAGGCTAAATTTTTGCGCGGAGGATGTATTTTCTGCGCAGGCATTAATTTAGTCTGGCTGTCATGATAACAACAATTTTCTCAAAACCAAAACAATTGTTTGTAATTGTACTGTATGTATAGTGTCTTGTCTTATTATGCGTGTCTTGGTCTTTGTGAAAAATATTGCCAATTCTTCATCTTACTTGGGAAACCGACTATAAAGTTTGCTGTGAAGTAAATCATCAGACTTTGGGTTGGCCTGGAGCATCTCCACAAAAAGATAGACAAGATATTCTCGCCAGCCACACTAAAGCTAGGTCTAGCCTAATCAGGCCTAGACTAGAAGCCTAGGCCTACTGCTCTAGTAGAGGTACCCTACTACTACACCCAAAAGCTAGAGAGTCTAGAAGGCCTAGGCCCTAGGCCTAGCTTGTGGAAAATATCGTGAGTTTCTATAAACATACCTGGCCTCATAAAAAGTGGAATTTATGAAAATATTAGTCCTTAAAAGTCACCAATTATACCAACTATACTTACAAGCTACAGAACATGAATGTGAGGCTTTATAAACAAAATATTTACTTACGTATCTCCGACATTTCCAACCACGTGTTTTCTTTGCGAAGCAGCGTGGCGTACACTGTATGTCTCTGAAAAATGAAATTTTCTGTTGACGTGAGTTTACTCGAGTTGACGCGTTTGAGCAGTGCCTAAACGCAACACAGCCAAGCTGGCGGTCTGCAGATTGTGCTTTACGAATGGGAAATGAATGAATGAACACAGAGTGAACACACAGAGTAAAGGAATTCATCAGCGAAGAGATGAATGAATGATGATTTCCTTTTAATTCCGTGCAATTACAGTAATGTCATAGGGTTAGGCTGACTTAAAGTTGCTTATTTAGTTTCCCTACCAAGTCATATATTGTTAATTGGCACAGCACATGCCTTCTGCCTTGCAGATAAGCCTGCCGAAGGGCCTACTCTACTACTATACTAATCCTAGGCCCCCTAGGCCTTGCCTTAACTTTAATTAGAGTAACTACTTAGAGTACTACTACTACTACTAGGCCTAGACTAGTGCTAGATTTAGAGAGTTTAGGCTAGGCCCTCTCTAGTCCCAGGCCCCTGGCGTAGACTGGAGGGTAGCCAAGCCTAGGGTAGGACCAGGCTAGCCCTAGTTAAGAATTCATGGCCTCCAAGCCCGAATTGAAATGAAGTTTTAGGCCTAGAAGTAGGGTTTACTTTCCACCAGGGCCAGGCCTCAGCCTGTAGCTGATTCCTCCAGAGGGTCCAGCCCCAGGGAGGCCTAGCCTACTACTAGGCCTATAGTCGGATCATGTCTAGCTACTGTTTGTCTATCTATACAGGCCACATCAGTATCAATTAACAGTGAGTGAATCGCCATGGGTGTCCATGGATTGTGGCAGCTCCTAAAGCCTACCGGAAAACCAGTGACACTTGAATCATTGGAAGGGAAAGTGTTGGCTGTTGGTATCCTTTTGAAAACATACAAACTCAACGATCCTATATCATCTATGGCACCAGTTTAATTTTTTATAGCTACCTAACTAGACCTTTGCACCTTTACATGTTTTTTATGCACCTTCCACAAAAATTATCGAAGTAAATAATACAGTACCTTTTTACATTTTTAGTCATTATAAAGTCAACAAAGAAAATGATGATATTTACTTTTTTGTTAAAGAATCAGCAAAGCTACATTTTAGTAAAACAGCAATGATATAAAGATATATTAAATATTTTTTATGTTTATTTTGTTTTATTTTTTGTGGTTGTCTGCCATCATAGTAAAGTTACTGGTTAATATAGATTAATTTGATGGAGTTTGTTTGATGTTATTTATTTATTTAATTATTGTTATGTATCTATTTATTATTTGATTTATTAAGCCCACTAGTGGACCCAATAAAATCATAAGGATAACAGTAATAATAATGATAAGAAGAGTATCAATAATGAAAGAAATTAAAAGAATACCTAATGATTTTAACAAATAATGATTAAAATAGCATTAATAAATGAATGATGTTAATAAGTAATAATAATGGTAATAATAATCATATTCACGACTAATAACTTATATGTCCTTTTTGCTACCTATGTTCCAACCACTCTGTGATAAAATTAAAATTGCATGTACTCCATACATGTACCACGCAGAAGGTGCCACCATCAACCCTACCCGTGTGAACCCCTATGTTGGGTAGTAACCAACCAGAACCAGAGAACAAAATTAATGCTGTATAACAAATTTGTCCAAAACTGTAAATAAATATCCCTTCCTTGCAAGTATCTGATCTTATCAAGTGTCTAGATATAAGCATCTGGCTTCACCAAGCTGTAAGAGGAATGAGGGATGCGGAGGGTAACCTGGTTAGTAATGCTCATCTTGTGACTTTACTCCATCGCATCTGTAAGCTGCTGTATTTCAGAATCAAACCTATCTTTGTTTTTGACGGCAGCGTTCCGGAGCTTAAGCGTCAAACAATGGTTAGAAGTTTACAATTGTTTACTTTGTTTTATTCAGTACAAAACAGCCATTAATTGATATCAATCACTGTTTGATAACTGATTGAATTAGCATAAACCCTGATAAATATTACAAAACAGTCCTTAATTAAAATATAGATTTAAATACAGTGATAAAAACAATGAAGATAATACTGTATGTTAACATGAATGAAACCCTTTACTTACAACTTAGCATATTCTATGCTTTACTATTATAATAATCCACATTCAAACCTCAACTGAGGCCGGCACTCGCTGCCAACTGTCGTACACCGAATCCAACTCCGCACCTTGTGAGCGCTAGACAGACATGGACCCCCCTGTCGTCCGATGCGCGACTAAGATGTCAAATAAAAAATAGTTTGCTTATGCAAACAACATTATTTTGGCTGCCAATCCCTAATATTGTGTGTCTAAAAGCACATTTTAAACCATACTAAGCCATAAAAACTCGCCCTGTGAACTCTACAAGGGAATCTTTATTCAGAGCCGTCAACTGAGGCTTCATCGGCCCTTGGCTCGAACCCATCCGTCGAACATGTCAGATCCCTGACTAGATAAATTTTCTCACCTCAGCCCCAACCATGGTGAGGGCTGATATGTACAGACCCACAACATGTGAAAGTTGCTTCCTGGGGCCCCCTCTATTTCATACTTTTTGATCCACCACTGAGTCTGACTACTAACCAGACTGACTGACTGTTTGAATGACAGTTGGAATGGTGCCTTATAATGAAACGATTGATTGATTCATTGATTGATTGATTGATTCATTGATTACTAAAATAATATTTACATTCATCTTCTGCTGTAGGCTGCCAGGAGGAAAAAAAAGGAGTTTGCCATAGACAAATCAGAAAAGGCTACAGAACAGATTCTCAGAAACTATATGAAAGTACATGCTGTTGACACAGTACTAGGCAAGAAGAAAAGGTTTGGAGATGTATTTTGGTTATTTGAAGGTGCTCACTGCTACAGATTCTAGAACTGATTCAGATTTTCAGACTTAATTTTGACTTAATTATAACTCAACATTGGTAAAAAATAATTAAAATATAAACAATAACAGTATAAAAATCACCACCATAATAATGATATTAAGAATAACATTAATAATTTAACAGTTATGGCATGACAAACCACTTCATTTTCAGAAACGTGGCCCTTTTATATCTTAAAATCTACCAAAACTTTCACAGAACAGACATGTGTGACATAAATAAAAAAAAATGAAAGAGATAAAGGCCTAAATAAGTTACAAAGCCATACTTCTAGAATCTGTAATAAGTACAGTAATAATAATTTTAAAAAAAAATCAAAATTGTAATTCATTTTCAGTGTCAAAAAACCAAGGGCACCAAGAGTTAGTACGAAAGCAGATGCTGCTCCAAATATGTACATTTTACCGCCTCTGCCTGCCTCCACACAAGAAAGTCTAAAAAGGTATGTTGTTATAAAATTCCTATTTTAAAATTGAAATTTTTGATTTGTAAACTGGCAGAAGAGTGATTTTATTTAGAAATGTCAATTTTCTAAAATGTTACGATGGCTAGGATTTCCCAACATAAAGCTAGCATATCATTTTGTATGCAACAGCATAGGGCATGTTTCTACTGAATATCGAGAAGGAAGCGGTTCTCTTATCATTGGTTGATTATCGGATTAGCAAGATAAGAACTGTGTTGCAAATGCATTTTGACTCCACTTGAAACGGTTACTGGACTAATACTTTTATTATACATGACTTAAGAGTTACCCAGAATGCAATTAAAATTATCTTTATAATAAAAGCTATAACGAAACAATACTTTTGCACGACTACCAAGATACAAACAAACAATGATTCTTCCTATCCAAATACCGTGTCCATATTCAAATTAAAACAATGGTTATGTTTCTTCTCACAGTACTTAACAAAAGAGAATATTTTGTTGTGATCAGAAGCTTAACATTTGTTTTACTGATTCCTTCTAATAATAAATTATAATATCGTTAGTACTATCGGTGATAGGCCTTCTACTGCATCAATGGATGGACTGGTAGAACACTCCGACAGTTCTGATCATTATTAAAGAACTTATAAACATAACCAAAAGTAAAAATTAACTTTAAATTAACTCAATTACATCCATTTCAACGATTCCAGTAGTACTAGACATAGGCCTAGCTTGCTGGCTAAGTTGACCACAGGTCAAATTAAGCTGCTATTTTTGTTGCAGCTAAAAACTACCCCATGGAGAACAGTTCTTTGGCATCTCTGGCATGATATTGATTTTGTGCTAAAGAACCATTCTTTGGTACACCAAAAAGAACGGTTCTTTATTATGGGTCCTGTTTCTACTGCCACGAAGAAACATTAAAAAAAAAAATGGTTCTTAAGTGCGGTTCTTTCTCGTCAGTAGAAACAGGCCCAAAGCCTCCACATTTTACGTATTCATCACACCTTATTTTAATACTAGACTTTCAGTTGAATTTTTATGTTCAAAATTCAGAGAAGAAGAAGAAGAAAAAGAGGAAGATGAGCACACGTTGGAGCAGCATCAACAGAGGTCATTTTTAGCTGATCATTATCAGAAGATCGGCAGCATTGACATCCAGTCAGAAGACTTCAAGAGTCTGCCACCCGAAGTGCAGCATGAGCTGATTGAAGAATTCCTGGAGAGGAATAAGCATAATGCTTGGGCTAAGAAAAAAATATTACCAAAGGTGAGCATGTTAATAATGATAGTTATAAAAAAGAAAATACACTAATATTAATCATAATAATGATGACAAATACATCGACAACGATGTGACAGCTATGGCGCAAAAATAACAATGATAGCAACGATAATAACAATTTTATAATAATGATGGGAATTTGAATTATGTTTATATTCTTTTGAGTTTTTTTGTTGTGTAATGTTACTTTCAACATATTTCTGAAAAGAAAGGTAAAGATTTAATATCATCATTATCACACTCCCCATCATTTGACATTTTCATTTATCATCAATCATGAATATCATTAATAAATGAAATATGAATTCTTCATTAATACACTTGCCTTCATTATTTCATTAATTTTGTTTAATTTTTTGTTCAAAGGAAGCAAATGAATTTTCAGAATTTCAGCTCAGCAAACTACTCAATAAGAATAAACTAAACCAAAGACTTGAGGATATACGAGAGGAGATGAGTAAAAGGAGTTCTGGAGAGATTGCTTCTATTCTTGATGTTGAAACTAAAAGTGTAGAAGCAAAAAGGATCGTTTCAGAGGATACCCAGCATTATATTCTAGTAAAAACACAGAAACAGACAACACCTCAGAAAGAGGTTGAAGATGAGTACAAACCATCAGGAAGCAAAGACATCATAGAAGTTGAAGATATTGAAGGAGGCTCAAAATCTGTGTGGAATACTGACAATGTTGATGTAACGGACAAGGAGAAATCCAAAGGGTCAATAACAGCTGAAGAGCTTGAAAGAGCTATGCAGGCAGTCTTTAACAACCAGAAAACAAAGATGTCAAAAAAGAACTTAGCAAGTGATTTTTCAAAGACTTCTGACAATGATGTCATAAAGACAGTTCCTGAGGAAACCATTCCTAAGACACCATCTGCATATTTAGTATCAAGTAACTCTGGCCTTGACATAAGTAAACCTGAGAACAATCTTAACATAGATGTAAGGGTGACAGATAGTCCAGAAGACATGGCTAATAATGAATCTCAGATATCAAAGAATAGTGCTTTTACATCCATCAGTCAGAATATAAATGTTGTTGATTTGACAGAAGACATTCCTGCACAAGAGAAAATTGATGATCAGGTTATAATGGTGACAGATAATCCAGAAGGCAGGGCTGATAAAGAATGTCAGATATCAAAGAATAGTGTTTCTCAATCAGTCGGTCAGATTATAAAGGTTGTTGACTTGACAGAAGAGATTCCTGCACAAGACAAAATTGATGATCAGGCTAAATTTGACAGAGCTGATATTAAAGTTATAAAAAACTCTAGTCATACTGGATCCTTTGTTGCTCAAGAGAAGAATCAACAGTTAGAAGTGGAGAACCAGCCCACATCTGTTATAGAAAATAATCATGTTGAAAATATACCAACCGTATACGAAAGAGAATTTCATCGCAAAACCATAGATTTACAAAAAGAAGATGAAGTAAGGGATGAGACGGAAAAACAATCAATTGAAGTAAATGAAGAGGAACCTGGTAGTGAATCTGAAGGTCTGTAGACTTCAATTTTAATGTATTTTTAAGATATAATGATACATGTCAATAAATTTAAATTAACAAAATAAGCCACGTATTCCCAGTATTGCATAATATTGTTTAGCATGTTGGTATATGCTTGTGATCCCTCTCAGGAATAATCATCAGTAGCAGTAATACTAAAGACAGCTAATACAAAGGTATCTGGCATGAAGTGTTTTAAACAGTATCATTTTTTAAATTAGCTTTTGTTTCATTTATTATGACAAATAGTACATGAAGGTATCTTACATAGGGCAGTGAAAAAGGTGCAATTAATTAGAAGTCATATATGTTTTGTCATTCAGACTAGTAATGCCATTAGTGAATGCAGTATGTATTAAATTGCATTACATTCAATATGTATTAAATTCAGTTATTCATGTAAATTAATTGAATTAGTTTTATGAATGATTATTTTAATTTTAGATGACTTTCTTGAAGTTTCATTTGACCCCACACAAGTAAGTGGTAATGATGAACTATTTCCTGCTGAAATATTCATACAATCCAATCATGTAAGTGATGAAGCTGCAAGGCAGGACCACATCACTTCTAATGAGGATGAAATTACGGAGCCAGACATCAAGCAAATAGATAGGTAATCCTAAGTGTTATGGTATTATGCTTTGAAATTGCTGTACGAGGTGGATATATGATATCTTCTGCGCAAGCCTAGCTGTGAGATTTTTTGCTAACCTTTGTTTTGAGTTCTCTGTACAAGCCTGCTTTGAGTTCCCTACGCAAACCTGCTTTCAAAACTCCTGCACAAGCCTGTGCAATTTAATGTGTTGAGATCCTACACAAGCCATCTGTGATATTCCCTGTACAACCACGCTATGACATCCACTATATTAACCAGGCTCACTATCCTGGCACAAGCCTTGCAAAGTGTATACTCACTGTTAGTCCAGTAGGTACTAAATTTTTTTTTAAATTCATGTCTGTCTTTGACATCAAAACAGGGAAGAAATTGCTAAACTTCAACATGAAGAAGAAGAAAATATGGCATCTTTGTCAAAAGAGAGAGAAAAATCAATAAAGGAATGGAAAGATATGAATATGGTGAGTGTTTTTGGAGTAGACTATAGATAAGGAAGAAGAGATCCATTGTACCTGCTCCCCCCTAAATTATTCAAAATTAATTAAATGATGGGAGAAAAAAGAAAGTGATATTTCAATTTAAGTCTGAGAGTGCCTTTTCCAGCCATGATAGAGGTGGCATAATCATACATTTTCTGACCTGAGCCTCAATCATGGTGGGGTCGAGATACTGTAGTGTATACCCTGTATCTGTAAAAATCACTCCCTGGGCCGCCTCTGTTTCAAATTCCAGGATCCGCAACTGACGCTTCCCTGAGACATGACTTTTTCTCCACACCCAGAAGTAAGTAGTTAACTGGTTGGTTTGAATTGGGTTGATTGACAATGTGTTAATTTCTGGCTACAACATTACAGATTTTATCAATAAGCCAAGTCATAGTTTGAACTGCCTATGCCTGTACGAAGGTCAAGTGACATAAACCAACGTACATACACACAACATAGGTTATGTTGATTCACCTTGGATACAAGCACGTGCAGTTCAAACTACAAATTAGCTTATAGATTTTTTTTTACATATTAAATTTATTTCAAATCAGAAGAATGTACAGGTAATCGGAATAAATTGTGTAATGTCAACTACTGTAAAACCTCGAATTGAAGCCCTGGGCTTCTTTTTTTGCGAACTTTTGGTGGGCTTCTTTTCAAGATGGGCTTCTTTTCCAGGCTACTTTTGCAAAGTAAAGAGGGGGGGCGGGGGCTTCTTTTCAAAATGAATGCTGTAAATTTTGTGAATTTTTACTATAAAACAAGGCCACTGTAACATCAATTTATATCATGAAGTGTATTTAAATGGCATTAAATCACCTAAACTACTGTATAAAACCAAGCTTGTTTTTAACTTACTTTGTTTTCTGAAATTTGTACTGTCATCATCATCAAAAAGAAGCCTACGCTGTCTTGAAAAGAAGCCCATTCTTTTCGAAGTGGGCTTCTCGAGGCTACCTTTGCAAACTAAAAAAGGGGCCTTCAATTCGAGATGGGCTTCATCTCGAGATTAAGCCCACTGGGCTTCAATTTGAGGTTTTACAGTATATCTAAATATTTTAGAGTGATGTCAGTGAAATGGAGAATGCACTCGCACAAGAGAGAATAACGCTTCAAACTGAGCAAAAACGTCAGCAAAGAATTGGAGCATCAATCACAGACCAAATGTATGCTGAGAGTAAGGTAAATTTTAGCCTCACCTTTCCTCAGGCATATTGTACTCAGTGACGTATCTAGGTGGGAGGGGGAAGTGCGCACACCCAAAGAATCTCACCCCTCCCTTATAAGCCCCCACTTCGAGAATCCTAGATACATTACTGATTGTATTCTAGCCATATGTCTCTGTGTCTCACTTTTTGTTCTGCTTTTTCCATGACTTCCATCCTGAGAGAGCAGCTTAGCTCAGTAGAGAGCAGCTTAGCTCAGTCGGCTAATCTGGTGTTAGCCACTGTGTGTGTGCTGAACCGTGGACATCTCTAGTAGTTCCCCGGTTCAATTCCCATCGCTGACTCTCCTTGTGTTTCAGCTGGATGGCTGAAATACAAGTTACAATAGCGCACCGTCTTTTGGATGAGACGTTTAAGCAGTTGGTCCCGTGTGCATTTATGGGCCATGCATGTGCAAGTTAAAGAACACAGTGCACTCTTCGGGAAAAGTGTAAGGGATTGTCTCCCGGTGAACTGCCCATTCACTACTAGAAGGACCCCACTGGAAGTAAGTCCTCTTCTAGACTTCCTTGGTGTTTAAAACAAGTAAATTCAATCCAATCCTCTGCTTTCCTTTTCTTTTCTAACTGCTGTTCTCTATGTTTTTAGTCTACCTAAATTTTGTTCTAATAATTAGTTTTTGGAGTGACCAAAATATTTGTATAATAAATATTATTGTTATTACTATTATTATTATTTTTTTTTTTTTAAATTTCTATTACTATGTACAACAAGTATGCTTGCCAATTGACCACTGGTTTGAAGTGTCAAAAGTTAACATTTAACCAATCAGACCATCAAAATGACCCCACTGGACTAAAGCCCTGTCCAGACTATCAAATTTAATTCTATTTGACAAAAAATCTGTTGTATTCTCAAGATGTTTCTATATATGGTCATGATGTGATGTCATCATGACCATATTTAGGCATGTCACATGTTTTTGTCAAATAAAATTTGACAGTCTGGACAGGGCTTTAGTTGGTTATCTGTGGTATTTCATGTGTTTTTCTATCACATCATTATAGGAATTACTGGAACTGTTTGGTATTCCATACGTGGTGAGCCCTCAGGAGGCTGAAGCCCAATGTGCATTTCTTGACCTCTCCAACCAGACATATGGATCTATCACAGATGACAGTGACGTCTGGCTCTTTGGAGGCCAGAGAGTCTACAAGAACTTTTTTACTAAAGACAAAGACGTTGAGTTCTATGAAAGCTCCAACTTCGAAACTCAACTTTGTATGTATTACTGCAGTAAAAAACACATTTTTACGATAACTTACATTATTTATAATACATATTATAATGTTGAAATGTACCACATTATGATCATAAGGAGTAGGGAGCTTTTGTTGCATGGCAATAGGAAGCCCAAGTATGTAATGACGTTCCATAGATTCATTTGCTCATAGGCAGATTGACTCGAATATACGTACATGCAGAGAATGCAGGATGGTTTTTGATGAAGTGAAACTGTTCTACATTCATTTCAAATTCATGTGTAAATCTGACTATATACAAGACTTTCAATGACAGATCAAGAAACTGTTCTACATTCATTTCAAATTCATGTGTAAGCTGACTATATACAAGACTTTCAATGACAGATCAGGAGTGTTGATGCATGAGGAAACATATTCAACCATATAAACTAAAAAAAAAATCATATTTTAGTAAACAAATTTTAATCAGTTCACCCATTTTATCTAAAGATTTAAAATTTGTTTAATAAAATAGACATGATTTATTTTCAGTGCACAGATTTGAATAAAAATTCATATTTGAATAATAAAATAGATTCAATTTATTAGAAGTGCACAGTGGTGTGGCTTGTTGTGGCAAATGGCTGAGTTGTAGCCAAAATTTAAATTCAAGTTATTGGTATTTTCAGATGCCTGAGTATGTGATCTTTAAAATGGGGGGTCATTCATTCAAATTGGACATTTCAAGTCTAAGTTATTGGAAAGTACAGTACTCTTAGAGTCAAGATAAACATGATTTTGAGTAATTGCCTTTCAAAGTTATTTTTGCATACATTGTTTAATAGAATGAACTATCAAAATAACGTTATATAAACAATTTGTTAACCACTTCCAGAACGAATACTTTGGGACATGATTAATAAGACATTAAACTGTTGATCTACGACAGTCTCAGAATAGATGAGTAGCACATAACATGGATTTGCTCTGAAAATTTTAAAATTTAGTGGCAAAATGGGCTCTTGGGCCCCACCATGCCCCCTACTGGATCCACCCTAGGTGATCACTAGTTGTTCAAAACATTTTTTTTTCTTATGTTAGTTCTTGACAGAATGAAGCTGATAAACTTAGCGCTTCTGCTAGGCTGTGACTACTCTGATGGTATAGATGGTGTGGGCTGTATAACAGCAATGGAGATACTTAGCGAGTTCCCAGGCAGCGGCATTGATGGGCTAAAGAATTTCAAGTAAGTTTACAAGAAAGTGTTCAACATATTTGTGATAGATATTTTGAGGTAATACAGTAGATGTACTGTATTATAAGGTACTGTATAATGAGTGCCAATTTAGTACACTCGCCGAATTATGTATGGAACTTCTGTAATGGGTGTTACACAATTAAAATAATTACAGTAATATTTATTATGTTAATTTTATGTTAATTTTTTGCAGAGGGTGCACTTTCTATAGAGGGTTTCGTTGCATTACACATATACATAGGCAAATGTGCTATTTTGGTATATTGAAATAAATGTTTAAGATGCTGTTTAATGTTTGGATTTATCATAGCTCAATTCTAAGAATTGTTGTTTAATTTTTAAATTTTTATGATTGAGATTTTACTCTATTTTATCCGGTTTCTGTATGTTACTTGTTTTTATTGAACGTGATTGTAGTCTTTTGTACTACTGAGCTCTGTGGAGAACAGTAGATTTCTCACCTAACAAGTTCTCCAGTATAAAGAATAAAGAAATAAAATAAACAAAGTGTAGATAGTTAAATAACACTTAATAACAATTAAGTGATTGAGGGTTACATTATTAAGAAAAACACCAAGATTTTTTTTGCACCATATTTTTCAAGAGCATGGTGGGATAAGAATGTAGGTAATCTGAATCCACCTGTAGAATAACGTTAAATAAACAATTTGTTAACCACTTCCAGAACGAATACTTTGGGACATGATTAATAAGACATTAAACTGTTGATCTACGAAAGTCTCAGAATAGATGAGTAGCACATAACATGGATTTGCTTTGAAAATTTTAAAATTTAGTGGCAAAATGGGCTCTACCCCCACCATGCCCCCTACTGGATCCACCCTAGGTGATCACTAGCTGTTCAAAACTTTTTTTTTTCTAATGTTAGTTCTTGACAGAATGAAGCTGATAAACTTAGCGCTTCTGCTAGGCTGTGACTACTCTGATGGCATAGATGGTGTGGGCTGTATAACAGCAATGGAGATACTTAGCGAGTTCCCAGGCAGCGGCATTGATGGGCTAAAGAATTTCAAGTAAGTTTACAAGAAACAAGTGTTCAACATATTTGTGATAGATATTTTGAAGTAACACAGTAGATGTACTGTATTATGATGTACTGTATTATGAGTGCCAATTTATTACACTCACCGAATTATGTGTGGAACTTCTGTAATGGGTGTTAGACAATTAAAATAATTACAGTAATATTTATTTTGTTAATTTTATGTTAATTTTTTGCAGAGGGTGCACTTTCTATAGAGGGTTTCGTTGCATTACACATATACATAGGCAAATGTGCTATTTTGGTATATTGAAATAAATGTTTAAGATGCTGTTTAATGTTTGGATTTATCATAGCTCAATTCTAAGAATTGTTGTTTAATTTTTAAATTTTTATGATTGAGATTTTACTCTATTTTATCCGGTTTCTGTATGTTACTTGTTTTTATTGAACGTGATTGTAGTCTTTTGTACTACTGAGCTCTGTGGAGAACAGTAGATTTCTCACCTAACAAGTTCTCCAGTATAAAGAATAAAGAAATAAAATAAACAAAGTGTAGATAGTTAAATAACACTTAATAACAATTAAGTGATTGAGGGTTACATTATTAAGAAAAACACCAAGATTTTTTTTGCACCATATTTTTCAAGAGCATGGTGGGATAAGAATGTAGGTAATCTGAATCCACCTGTAGAAACCAAGATCAAGTCCAAACTCCGTAAGTTAGATGTGCCAACAGCATTCCCGCAGGAAGCAGTTGTAAGGGCGTTCATGAGTCCACAAGTGGAGGAGTCGGCTGAAGAGTTCACATGGGGCATACCGGACCTAGACTCCATACGAGGATATCCTTTTATGTCAGTTTTACTGTCAATACAGCTTCTCTAAAATTTTAATTTGAAACAGATGTTCTGTGTAGGTAAACAGTGACAGAGGAATATTGGAAAAAATTGTTACACATGTAATTAATCAGTCAATAATTAAATAGAAATAATAATAGCAATGGCAGTATCAATTGCAGTAGCAGTAGTAAAAGGTACTTTTTTTTAATACCGTGTTTCGCGAACTAATTTTTTAAAGATCATCAGAGAAGGGCGAAAAAAAAAAAAAAAAAAAAAATTTTGTTTACTTATTAATTTAGGAAATATTTTTGCCAAAAACATCCAGACGGAGGAGTAAATAAAAAAAAAATGTTATTGGTGAATGTAAACAGTACAGTAATGGGATGGCTAAATGCTTCAAGTTTATATAATTAGGAAGAAATATACATATCATATTTTTAGAGATTTCATGGCAGCGGTCGGCATAATAAAAATCAAAAGACGCTTTTCCCTTTCCTGAAATTTCCATTTTTTCGTTGCGGCGGGTGCGCTAATTGGCTAAAAATAAAATTTCATTTTTATTTGAAATCATTGTTATTGGCATGTGATGGGTTTGCTAAACAAAATATAAAAAAAGTCTCACCTGAGCATGTACTGCCTCTCAGGTAATGGTTAAAATGGACAAATCTGATAAATTTAAATTGGAATTATTTCTGAACATAAAAGGTCAAATGTTTTTGTCAAATAAATTTGAATAGTCTGTACAGGGTTGAGCTCACATGTGTATGCAATTAAAATTTTGAAATTTTTTGTTCTGCGCATCACAGATAAGCTATCTAGTGGAGAGCATGATTGTAACCGTTGTGCAAACCACAAATTAATAGAACTGTAATAATATGTTGACTATGATGAACCCGGTGAAATCTTTGTTTAAAATGTTCATGGTGTAATCCTTAATTGCCACTTTCCACATTTGCATTGGAACGTCTTAGCTGGAACACTAAGAAAACAGATGAAAATGTTCTACCTATCCTGAAACGACTCAATGAAAAATCAGTAAGTTTCAACAATTATGACGACGGAGACGACGGAGACAATAATGACAATCTAAATCATGGTAGTGATGATGATAATGATTACAATGATGATGATTGAGAGTGATGGGGATGGCAACAGTGATTATTTATGTATGTATTTATGGTGCATAATGATCTTTATAATGAGGATGATAGGAAAATGAAGAGGACCATTATATATGTTTTTGTACATGTTTCTATTGAAACACACTTCAGTGTTTTTGAAGTAGAAATCTGTAAAGCATAAATAAAACTGAATTGTCTCATCAAAATTTTATAATTTATTTGATCCTTTTAAATCACAAATTCAAATCTGTAATTACATTTTTTAAATAATTTAAAGATTTCACTATATACCTTAAAACAATTATAAGTATAATAATATCTTATTTATTTTACTTTAGGTCCAGCGACCAATTACATCTTTTTTCAGCCATGTGGCTGGACATCAGACAGGTGTCAAAAGTAAACGACTGAAACGTGTTTTAAAGAAATTAGGACAATCTCAATCAGACACTGACGAGGAAGAAAAAATACCAAAGAACAAAAAGACTAAGCAAAGGATTGTTGACCAAAAGGAGGCACAGACTAAGAGAAAACGAAAAGCTGCAGAAGACAATGTACAGAAGGGAAAGGAAAAAAAGAGCCGTCAAAGCAAGCAGAAGATGGGACCCACTGGTGATGCCAAAAGCAAAAGTAATTGTCGGGGAACAAAAGCTAAAATTTACACGGAAGAAAGCGATAGTGATGAAATTAATGCTGATAGAAAGTTCAAAATGAAAGGGCCTGTTCTGTCTGAAAGTGGAAGTAGTACAGATTAAGATTAATGCAGTTCTTATCATAGGCAGATTCAATACCCCCCCCCCCTTTTCTATTGGGGCTGTGGTGGTCTAGTCCCTTCATCTGTAAGATTCCTTCCTGGGTCCCCTCTATTTTGAATTCCCGCATCCACCACTGTTTGTCACACTGTTGCTGTGTTCGCACATTGTATTCATTACATTCCTGCATACTGGTCAAATAGTAATAGTAATCATAAATAGTAGAAAGTTTATTTTAGCAATAGATGCAATCAATTTGCCCTGCAATTCAAGACCAACTTTGGGACCTGAAAATTTGGGGCTCAGGGGCAGATATTCCCCCCCCCCCACGGGGTGGGGGAGGGGCACTACAGTTTCAGAGTAGATAAGTAAGTAGCACATAACATTGATTTGCACTGAAATTTTAAAAATTTAGTATCTACGGACCACATCTTATGTGGTCCGTAGAAAATGTGTGGTGACATCATTTCAAATCCACATTTTGATATTTCTGCAAATGTATTTGTATAATTTATGAATCATGTAAATGACAATCAGTAAAATTTGTTAGGTATCTACTTATGTCAACGCTAAATGAGATAATAAAAGCTGTTGAAACATTGGTTTCAAAAATAATATTTTCTGAAATGCTGTTTCCTGTATGTGTGTTTAATTATTAATTTCATTTTTCACAAACCTTAAGAACAAAGGTTTTAGTTATATAATCACAAAGACTGCAACCTTGTGGGTTAATAAGTTATTATATTACATTATGCTGCCTTGTCACCCTTTTCCAGAGCATGGGCCATCAACTATGGATCTCCATCTAATACGATTTTGGGCCACTGCTTCTTTCTCTTTCCAGTTGTATTCTTCCTCCACTTCCCTTCTCCAAGTGTTTTTTGGCTGGCATCTCTTTCTCTTCCCTTGTGGGTTCCATCTTAGTGCTTGTCGAGATGTTGTTTTGTGGTTCCTCAACGTGTGTCCAATCCAACCCCATTTCTTTCTGGTGATTATGTTTACAGCTGGTTCTTGATTTGTTCTTTTCCACAGCTCTTTATTACAAATTTTATTTGACCATCATATTTTTTAAAATTCTCTTCAAGCATTTATTAATGAAGACTTGAATTATTTCTTTGGATACTCTTTGTGGTGCGCCATGTCTCAGCTCCATATAGAAGTACTGACTTCACATTATAATAATAAGTTACAGGGGCGTACGGTGAAACATCTAAGGGGGGTTCGAAACGAAAGTGCAGGGGGCAAGCTGAACTCGGAGCAATTTAGCGAAGCTTTAAGAATTCGCGGGATGCGTTATTTGTGAGTGAAGCGAGCATATTTAAAGGGCACTTTCTTTAAAAGGTGGGGGGGGGGACGACCGCACCCATCGACCCCCTCCCTCACGGTACGCCCGTGAGGTGTACGAAAGTTTAATACATACTCCCAGAAATGAAATACACACCCAGCACGATGGTGCGTATTTCATTTCTTGGAATATGTATTATAGAGTACCACAGTCGTTTCGTCACAACGCCAGGCCTCGCCCTCGCCAACCAGACTTCGGTTACCGTTCATTACGCCTGAATGACTTCATAGGCTTTCTGGAATAGGCATTTTAAAATCCTAATATTTTACCATCAAAAATGTACTAAAATCAAAGAAGCTCGCATTACATTAGTTATCGAATTATATTAGTTATCGAACACACATCTAGAAATCACATTGCATTGTCTTTTGTATTCATGTTTAATTGTGTAAAAAGATTGACAGTACTGTATCTGTATCGATTTTGTTCTTTAAAATTATCGAAATTATGCGACATTAATACTTTTCAACAATGTTCTTTCATGCATGATCTAGTTCACAGTGAATTGTCTTCTTTCTTCAATAATGTGATTCGGTTTAATTCAGATGTCCACAATTATTTCTCTACATCTGCTCATAACTTGCACTTGCCCTTACCTCGTACCAACGCTATCTTTTTTTTAAATTTTCAGCTCAGTGGTCTAAAATATTGCATTTAAAAATATCTTCAACAAGAAGTCTTTAAAACTCAAATCATACTTTATTTCTATTCTAAATTATATTACTAAATTCCTTTCTTTTCTTTTATGTATTTCTTTGATTACATTTCGCTTTCCTTTATTTGACTTGTTTGATCTGTGTGTTTTTTTCTTGTTCTTTGTTCTGTGCTTGTCGTTCTGTATTTTACTTTACCCTTTTATTTATGACACTTCCGACACAGGCCTGTACTTAGGAAGCTGCCTTCTTCTTTCTCCTTCACTTTAATGATTATTTTTCTACTTAAATTGTACATTTCCATTTTAACTATGTTGTATTTCTTTGAGATAATAAATAAACGTTCTAAAGCGGGACACATCGATCCAGGACAAGTTTATACAGGTCCCCTAAAATAACGACCACTTTTAGAACTGGGGGCTTTCGTGGCCTTTATAAGAGGTTTGGATAATAGGAAAAATAAATAATCAAAGTAAAAATGAAGGCAGAAATGCATCAATTAAAACGTTCACAAAAATAATACAGTATATTTATTTATTTATTTTTTCATCACTTTTATTAAAATTCAACATAGAGAACATACAGAATCAAATACGAAAAATAAAAAAACATCGTAGGATATTAAAGGAACAGAGAAGCCTTAGACTCATAACAGGACATGCAAGGGAGACAAAGAAAAACATTTCGCAAAGAACAGGGTTACAGGACGGACAGAAAATGTATAAAAAACTGTATGATTGGCAGTTACTCAAAAATAAAACCGAAAAATACAGAATTCAAAAGTTTCTTAAAAAAATGATTTAGAAAAATAGAGCGGTTTTTTTTGTAATTATTAATATATATATTTACATAGGCCTATTTGTATACAACATTGAGTATAATAATGTAAATAAACTCATCGCGTCTCGCAATCCGTTCCGGGTAACATGGAGTTTACCGCTGATTACCTCAGCTCAGCATGTTTTCATGTGCTAATGCGTAGCCTCGTCGTCTGAGGGCCATAGGTTTCAGAGTATCCTTTGGGAATTTAATCTTGGTATTGTCATGATTATTTTTTATTTATAAAAGTTGAAAAGCGGGACAATTTGGGGGTTGTGCGGGACAGCGTCAATTATTAGTCTATTCGTGCCATACGTTTTATGGTGTTAGTTACTATTTTATTAATTTTGGGTACTTCGCAATGTCTGTTGCATCTGATTTCTTTTGACCGCGAGCTTGTTTAATGCTTCTATAAACTGCAATTTCAGTTGTGAAAAGAAAATGAAAAGTTATAGCAATTGACAATTTACGAATTTTATAAAATTTCATGTTCTTATGTAACATTAAACTGTCATTTTGACAATGTTGGACTAAGGTGCACAAAACGAACATTTGAGTAGATACAGAACATTCATTAATTTTTTCTGCGAAGTGAGTCTCATAAACGACAATACACCACAATATCGGTAAAACTAATGTTAAAATGAAGAATATAATTTCAGTCTAATGTTAGTGCAAAATATCAGGCCTTTGTAATCACCGCACGACGCGCGATTATCATGGCAACTAACACGCGCATGGGTAATTCGGTTTATGGTCTGCTATGGTTTTTGTGACGTTTAGCGTGTGGGGACGCACGTGCGCCTAGAATGTCAATGCCAGAGTTATAACCTTTGATTTCCCGAGATGTGCGTCCTTCTGTTGAATTGTCGTGAATCAATGGACCCTCATTCGAACCATGGAGGTATAAATAATAATACCTCCATGTTCAAACTAAGCAAACTGAACGTTTAATACTAATAGGAATATTCTAGACCTATCTTAAAGTCTCAAGGAACAAAAGTTTAGATTTAAGGCTACGGCCAGGCAGGAGGCTGCCGAGGCTCCTCCTACAACCTAGGCCGTAGTTATAGAAATCATTTTTACCTGTCCGACCAAAAAGGTCAGTGACGGTATTTTCTCAAATTACAAGTTATTCATCGTACTGAAATCAGCATACGCACAGCTAAATGTAAATACGCACACAGTTTACTGATCATATCACTATAGCAACCGATGACTGCTACAACAGTTGGTTATCAAAAACTAAAATTAAAAGACAGCGATTGACTTATAAAGCAATTAGTAGAACATGCATCGTACGGAAAATGATTATAATTATGTTATATTTAATGTTGCTAATGTCACACAACACGACAATGTTACAGCATACGCGAACATTCGTGCGTTGTGGGACAATTATACGTGTCTTTGTGAGACACGCGCGTATTCCTATTGCTGTTCTGATTGGTCAGTTGTTAAGTTTGATACTCCGGAAAATAATTGGCGAGGTCCACTACTATATTAGATTCTTGCATCGATTGAGAGGGCTCCAGTGCTATACGGTGTTCTCTTCCACCCCCATCCCTAAATTCCCCACCGCCTAAATGATTCCACGTTTAATTCGGCTCCTAGCAGCAAATTCGCGTCTCGGCCAATAGGGCATACATCTTTGGTAACGTTTCTCCTCTTTAATTAGGTAAATCAGCAAGGAAAGCACGGAATTAAGAGTGTTAAATGTCGGGCGAATTCGTGATATAGCCAGAAACTAATTCCAGTCTTCTGCAATTTCATTGTACAACCTCGTAGTTTTGGTGGCTAGTGGAGAAAAAAAATCATCAAATGGTTAAATAAAGAATTGAATGGAATGAACGAACGAACGAACGAACGAATGAAGAATGAATGAATAACGGTTACTTTGGTGGTGTTAATGCCCATTATGATGATGACAATGCTGAGGATAATGAAGCGCTTTGAGACCGTTTTGGTATAAAGCCGGACACCCACTTCACATTCGTCGTACGACCGTCTCACGACGAATCCACATTTGCTTCCGGGAGCGATAGACGATGCAACGCCGTCTGCTGATTGTCAGTGGCAATCTGAACGGACACTCATTAAAAAGACGATCCGTTAGGTCCGTGTCTTTGCGTGCGTTCTTCGTCGCGTTGCCGTCGCACGCAGTCGGTAACCGGCTTAAGCGCTATAGAAGTTAAACTATTACTGATGTTTGTCATTATGTTCAAGAGTTAAACGTTCTTCTAATTTCATTACATTTATTTATATTGTAGCACTATATTATCTTTATCATTCTTATTATAACTAGAGATAGTACCGTATTTGACTGAAAAATATTTACCCAATTCTGTATTTTCTGTATTTAATTCCAATAATTACAAAAAGGCATAGAAGCACCAATGCTCCCAGAGTTGCAGCCAAGATGGCCCACCAGTGTCCGCATTTAAACACATCGAAATGAATCTCGGCCACCTGCTTAGACTCAAGGCTTTGAGGGCTACCACAATCAATCGATTGGATATTCTTCAGGATGTCAATGGTGTTTTCTTCACGCAGCCAGTAATGGAACCACTCTAGGTCACAATCACAATTATAGGGGTTGTCGAAGAGACTTAAGCTAGCCAACATCAGCAAGTTCTGGAGTCCAACAGTTTTCGTAATTGTTGTCAGCGAGTTTCTGTGAAGCGCAAGCAGGGTGAGATTATCTGTACCATGGAACATGGCGTCCGGAAGAACCTTGATACTATTACTATCCAAATTTAGGGTTGTCAGAGACGTCAACTTCTGAAATAGATTCGGTGGGATATTTTCGATTTTATTTCCCGTCAAGTTCAACAACTGTAATGCGTTCAAGTTGAGGAAGGCATTTGGGAAGATTTTTTTAATTCCACACATTTCCAGATTCAAGTGCGTCAATTGAAACAGGTTCCGGAACCAGTTCTGGTTGATGGAAATAATATTCTGATTGTCATCCATTCGTAGGCGGGTTAAGGACCTTAGATTGCTGAATGCATCATCGTGGATTTTGCCGGATGTTAATCTATTCTTGGTAAGAACAATTGTCTCCGTTGTGTTCGGAAACGAATTTGCTGATAAACCAGTAATCTTGTTACTACTCATTTTCACCACTGCAGTGTCGGCTGGGAGTTCGTGTGACGATACAGAATGTATATCTTTTCCATCGCACTCAGCATTGTGTCGATAACGTATTAATGTTTTGTTAAACTTGTGATACAAGCAATAAGGACAGCTACAAGGTTTTGGACAAACCTTAAAACTATCTGGTATAGTTTCGTTAATATAAAATGGGTTAAAGTCGTAGCAAGGAGTGGCAAAAGTTAAAGACACTAGGAGGGCGGCCGTTAGGCACAGTAGTTCAATTTGCGTCATCTTCATCTTTGCTTTGCTGGATAAGGAAATACTATTATCAGCGTACAATTATAGCGATCTATAAGAATGCGCTGTGTAGCCTACTCTGTTCTCCTGTTGCATTGGTTATTGATGTGATCTATCACGTGCTGAGGCAGGAGTGTCTAGCTTCCGGAAAGAAAAGATGACCTAAAAGGAAATTTTAATCGTAGGCCATTATAAACTCTTGCTTTGCTGGATAAGGAAATACGATTATCAGCATACATAGCGCATTCTAATAGTACTATTATTTCGAATTTCGATTCAATATATCACGTGACATGCAGTAGTTGCGGCAATTGGCTTAAATCGTGTTAGCTTATAAATAAATGAACTAAACCAGGAAATTTCGATACCATTGAATAGGGTGAATAAAATAACAACAAAGAGAACATTGAATAGGGTGAATAAAAAACAACAAAGAGAGCCACTAGGGTCAACTACATTAGTCATTGACCAACCTGCCTACAACGCTAGCTGTACCGGTACAGTATTGATTTTACATGAGGGCATCTAACTCCACAGTAGCTGGAAAAAATGAAAGCCAGTCAATTCGACCGAATGCCAGTTCGAGCGGATGCATTTAGTGCGAACGATAAAGGGCGAATTTATCGCTGCCTTATTGTATGTGTGAGTGAATAGTACTTTCGTTTGTTTCAAATGCAATGCTCTGTTCACTATAGTTCTGAAATGTTTTTGATACTTTTGATAATTATTCCATGTTTGCATTACAGTCTTGGCAAATCCGACTACCAGATGGCCGCACTAGGCCTATAATTTATTTTAAAATATCATTCTGAATTCACGGTTTTTGTCTCCAGTTGGTTGATTGATTGATTGATTTTATTCAGTTCCATTACATACAAATACAAAGCAAACAAAAATAGGGAAGACAAGGACAAGATACTTAGGATGACCCAAGAAAGGTAAAAAAGAAACTATATTTCCATTGGGGTCAAATATGGGTAATGAACAATTAAATGCATTGCAAAGTAGTGTATTGTAATATTTGTAATTAAATTATGTTGTAATTTGTAGCCCCTAAATTTACGATTTTTATTTGTAAATGGGAGTAGGCCCTAACTGTAATTTTAATTGTTATTCACTATAGAAATTTCAATTACTGTACATTTACATAATCTAGGTGTCAGAAGGTGCACAAATCATTGGTGTAGGCCTAGTAGTGTAACAAAACATTCAACAGTACAGTAATACAGTAATGACATCATATCAATTTTCCCCACTATTCACCTTTCGTCTATAGTTCAAAACCCACTCTTAAAGCGAGTGGAGCAATTACGAATACTAAGATATGATAAATCATTGTTTTTATGAATGTACGGTAGTTATGTTTAATTTTAAATTGTTAACCTAAAAACCAATTAAATATGACTATACATAAGGCTATAGGCTTCTCTCCGGAACTCACCAGGGCTTTTCCCTGGTTCCCAGGCAAAGCCAGTGGCGTAGCTAGAGCTTTTGGCGCCGGGGAAAAGAGTAGAAAATTGCGCCCCCTTCCCCCCCCCCAAATTATAATTATAATATTTTGAAAAAATTGATATTGGTTGTATAGACTTTAAGCATATCCGTACCGTACGTCCATATCATGCACTGTCTAAATAACATTACTTAAACCCGAATAGGCCAACTATTATTATTCTAGCTCTCATAGGCTATGTTCTTTCTTAGGGGTGTTACCATGATTTGCCCGAGGAGGGTCCGAGTTCCGGGGGGAGATGCCCCGACGAGGGGGAAGATTTCCTTGACGAGAGCAAAGTGGGCGTGATCGAGCGTCGCTTAAAATCTTCCGAAATCATGGGGGTTGGGGCAGAGCGCCCGAAAATTTTTTACAATTGGGTTTCAAAGGCTTATTTAATCGATTTTAGAGTCTACTAATATGTACAAAATACACATAATTTTTTTTTCTCCCAAACGAATTATGGTTTTCTCCCCAAGGGAGTTGGGGGGTGGGGGTGGGAGTGCAGCTATTACCCTATTGAAACTGAATTACGATGTTCGGAACTTTGTATACAACTTTACCATTATCCTAATTTGTTGTATTATTTTATCGCATACAGCTTAGTATTCTTATTCTCTACATTTATCTTATAGTAGAGTCTTCTAAGTTGCTGAATTTTTAACATTGTTTAAACTCAGTGGCGGACCATCAAGGCAACCAATGTATGCAGTGCAGACCCTGGCTAAAACAAAAAAGAAAATATAGTAGTAAAGTTTCTGCATTTGATTTAGCATTTCTTAGCCACAATCTTCAATATAAACCTTAATTTTTCGAGTGGATTGCTGTAGTTTATTGGAAAAGCAAAGTTTTTCAATGTTTGGCCTACGTTGGTACCCGGTAGGATAAGTCACATTCGGGCCTATCGCATCGTACTCTCAGCTTGCTTAGAATTTCCGCATGGCTGGTCTTCGATATCAGCCAATCACGTATTCAGTTAGTCAATGGAAGTCAGAGCTGTTCTATTTTCTCTATGGTGAGAGCATACCTTACAACGCTTAAATTTGCTATTGTGACAACCGTGTGGTGGCGTCAGAATAGCCAATTAACACTGGAATGCCTGTATTAAAAATAACATACATTTGTATTTTGTTTTGTAGCAATCTGATCCTGTAATGTAGTAGGCTTACGAACTTTTCCTACTAGCAGGCCCTAGCATCGGTGGCGTAGGGGTCTTGAAATGGAAGGGGATGTCGTGGAAAGGTAAAGTGGGGATCGGTGATGAAGGGGATAACTCGCAAAATAATGTGATTTGAGGTGATTTTTAACTACTTGAGCATGATCTCTGGGCGGTGGATGGGCGAATATTTTTATCAGGGGGATCCTAGATATGCCAATACATCAAGGACTTTTAACTGTTACCAGGATAGGAAGCTGGCTGGTTTAAGCCAGGGTTGCCAGATAGTCGACAGGCTTCACGGCACACGCCATCTCACGACCAAACTTTTTTTTCGATATCGGCCAAAATTCGGGCAGATTTTAATCCGATTAGAAGACAACAGTGGGTACATATTCATTTAAAATACTACAAAAATTACACGAAAATCAGCGGTCATTCGTTTGAAATTGAAGAAATTCAAATGATATACACTACACAGAACAATGTTAAACTTCCACTGTTTTTCTTCTTTTAATTATCACCATAAAATACATGCCCCGGCTACATCATAATATTGAATAGCCTATATTTTTAGTTGCTCGCATGTAGGCCAGTTCAGGGGTGAATCCAGAGATGTCCGAAAGGGGAGGGGTTCGGGGCCGGAAATGGGTCGGGGAGGGGCGAAAATGGGGCCAATTGAGATAACACCATCTTGAAGGAAATTTTGTTTTCTAGACGCCGGAAAATAACCTCTGATGCGTTTGGGCGTTCAATTATTTCACCCCCCCCCCCACCTAAATCCACCTCTGCTATTTAAAATCACATAAGATTGTTCTAAATTTGATTTAAATGTATTAAATATTAAGGTACATTTTAGTCGATCTATAGCATAGTTACCAACTGTCTCGCATCGTGCGGGGCGGTCCCGCATTTCAAAGTGCTATTGGATGAAACACGCATTTTGCAGAAACACATGCGTGATCCATAATTTGTCATGCATTTAGCACAAATCTGTGCGTGATAACGAATGATCACAAATTCAGGTGAAAATGTTTTTAAATTAAAAGAAATTGGTTTTATTAAAAAAACTTAAACGATCATGCAGTAACTTGAGTCATTAGAGAGTTAGTATTTACGTAAATGTTTATTTCACTGACGCGTTACGGTACTAAAAATAAAATGAAGTGAAATGTTTAGGTCAACATAATTCGTGCTCAATTACATTGAAACTCAAAATATTTTTGCTTATGTACCCAGTATTGTCAACACACACTCAAAAACAGCTTTAATGCTCAGATCGTCAGAGCGCCTGGGGCCACGCGCCAGGATCTCGTCAACTGATCATCTCTTCATCTCTTCTAAAGTATGTACACATGACAAGATCCAGGATCTCGTCATCTAATCATCTCTTCTAAAGCATGTACACATGACGAGATCCAGGATCTCGTCATCTAATTATTTCTTCTAAAGGATGTACACGTGACAAGATCCATGATCTCGTAATCTAATCATCTCTTCTAAAGGATGCAGACATGACGAGATCCAGGATCTCGTCATCTAATCATCTCTTCTAAAGGATGTAGACATGACGAGATTCGAGGTCTCGTCATCTGATCATCTCTTCTAAAGGATGTAGACATGACGAAATGAAGGATCTCGTTATCTATTCATCTCTTGTAAAGGATGTAGACATGGTGATATCCAGGATCTCCTCATGTGATCACCTCTTCTGAGGGATGTAGACATGACGAGATCCAGGATCGCGTCATCTGATCATCTCTTTTAAGGAATGTAGACATGATGAGATCAAGGATTTCGTAATCATCTCTGATCATCTCTTCTAAAAGACTTAGACATAACAAGATCTAGCATCTCGTCATGTGATCATCTCTTCTGAAAAATGTAGACATGAGGAGATCCAGGATCGCAACAGTTGATCTTCTTTCCTACAGGATGTAGACATGACGAGATAATTATCTAGACATCTGGAACGTCACTATAAGATTCCGTAGCAAGGAGAGCAAGAGTGTCAAATGTCGGGGCAAATTCTTGATATAGCCAGAAACCAATTCCAGTCCTCTGCAATTTCATTGTACTACCTCGTAGTTTTGGTGGCTAGTGGAGAAAAAAAAATCAAATGGTTAAAATAATTGAATTGAATGGAATGTAATGAATGAACGAACGAACGAATGAAGAATGAATGAACAACGGAGACTTTGGTGGTGGTGTGGTGTTAATGCCCATTATGATGATGATGACAATACTGATGAGGATTGAAGCGCTTTGAGACCGTTTCGGCAGAAGCGCTATAGAATTCCAACTATAGGTCCTATCCCTATCCTTGCAACTCGGAGTTGTTTCAACATGAATCGCTATAAATAGACATTTTTTGTTTATTGTTACTGATGTTATTGTCATTATGTTCAAGACTTAACGTTCTTATAATCTCATTATATTTATTTACATTGTAGCCCTATATAATCTTTATCATTCTTATTATAACTAGGGATAGTATTTGACTGAAAAAATGTTTACCCAATTCTGTATTTTCTGTATTTGATTCCAATAATTACAAAAAGGCATAGAAGCACCAATGCTCCCAGAGTTGCAGCCAAGATGACCCACCAGTAAGCGTCAAGAAAAGAGCGTCCGCATTCAAATTCATCGAAATCAATCTCGACCACCTGCTTAGACTCAAGGCTTTGAGGGCTACCACAATCAATCGATTGGATATTCTTCAGGATATCAGTGGAGTTTTCTTCACGCAGCCAATAATGGAACCACTCTAGGTCACAATCACAATTATAGGGGTTGTCAAAGAGACTCAAGCTAGTCAACATCAGCAAGTTCTGGAGTCCAACAGTTTCCGTAATTGTTGTCAGCGAGTTTCTGTGAAGCGCAAGCAGGGTGAGATTATCTGTACCATGGAACATGGCGTCCGGAAGAACCTTGATACTATTAGTATCCAAATTTAGGGTTGTCAGAGACGTCAAATTCTTAAATAGATTCGGTGGGATATGTTCGATTTTATTTCCCGTCAAGTTCAACAACTGTAATGCGTTCAAGTTGAGGAAGGCATTTGGGAAGATTTCTGTAATTCCACAAATTTCTATATTCAAGTGCGTCAAATGAAACAGGTTCCGGAACCAGTTCTGGTTGATGAAAGTAATATTCTGATTGTCATCCATTCGTAGGCGGGTTAAGGACCTTAGATTGCTGAATGCATCATCGTGGATTTGGCCGGATGTTAATCTATTCTTGGTAAGAACAATTGTCTCTGTTGTGTTCGGAAACGAATTTGCTGATAAACCAGTAATCTTGTTGCTACTCATTTTCACCACTGCAGTGTCGGCTGGGAGTTCGTGTGACGATACAGAATGTATATCTTTTCCATCGCACTCAACAGCGTGTCGATAACGTAGTAATGTTTTGTTAAACTTGTGATACAAGCAATACGGACAGCTACAAGGTTTTGGACAAACCTTAAAACTATCTGGTATACTATTGTTAATATAATATGGATTATGGTCGGAGCAAGGATAAGCAAACGTTAACGATACTAGGAGGGCGGCAGTTAGGCCCAGTAGTTCAATTTGCGTCTTCTTCATCTTTGCTTTGCTGGATAAGGAAATACGATTATCAGCGTACAACTATAGCGATCTTATAAGAATGCGCTATGTAGCCTACTCTGTTTTCCTGTTTCATTGGTTGTTGATGTGATCTATTACGTGCTGAGGCTAGTATGTTTCCGGGGAAAAAAAGGTGACCTAAAGCAGGAAATTTCAATCGTATAGGCCTAGTATATAACTTCTTGCATTGCTGGATAAGGAAATACGATTATCAGCATACATAGCGCATTCTAATACTATTATTTGGAATTTCGATTGGAATGGTTGTATTTACCACGTGACATGCAGTAGTTCCGGCTTGGCTCAATCATTTTTGCTTATAAATGAAATGAATAAACCAGGAAATTCGATACCATTGAATACAGTGAATAAAATAAACAACAAAGAGATGCCACGAGGGACAACTATTAGTCATTGACCAACCTGCCCACAAAGCTAGCCGTACCGGTATTAATTTTAGAGGGCATCTACTCCACAGTAGCGGGAAAAAACGAAAGGGAGTCAGTTCGAGCATGCGCGGTATAAAGGGCGAATGCCAGTTCGAGTGAATGCCAGTTCGAGCGGATGCATTTAGTGCATCCGCTCACACTTATTGTATGTGTGAGTGAAATAGTACTTTCGTTTGTTTCAAATGCAAAAATGCTCTGGTCACTAAAGTTCTGAAATGTTTTTGATACTTTAGATAATTATTCCATGTTTGAATTACAGTCTTGGCAAATCCGACTACAGATGGCCGCTTACAAGTACTCCTATATTTATTTTAAAATATTGTTCAATTCTCCAGTTTGGTGATTGATTGATTGATTGATTGATTGATTGATTTTATTCAGTACCATTACATACAAAAATACAAAGCAAACAAAAACAGGGAAGACAAGGACAAGATACTTAGGATGACCCAATGAAGGTAAAAAAGAAACCATATTTCCATTGGGGTCCTTACATTAACAAGCGAATACAAAACACAGAAGCAAAAAAACAAAAAACAAAAACCGCAGGATAAAAAACGGTAAAACCGAACAACAAAGGGGGGTAAAATGAACAATTAAATGCATTGCAAAGTAGTGTATTGTAATATTTGTAATTGAATTATGTTGTAATTTGTAGCCCCTAAATTTATGATTTTTGTTTGTAGCCTAAATGGCAGAACTGTAATTTTAATTGTTATTCACCATAGAAATTTAAATTACTGTACATTTACATAATTTAGGTGTCAGAAGGTGCACAAATCATTGGTGCAGTAGTGTGACAAAACTATCAACAGTACAGTAATAATGACGTCATATCAATTTTCCCCACTATTCACCTTTCGTCTATAGTTCAAAACCCACTCTTCAAGCGAGTGGAAAGAATAACAATTACAAATGACTAAGATAAGATAAATCATTATTTTTATGAACGTAGTTATGTTTAATTTTAAATTGTTAACCTAAAAATCAATTAAATACGACTTCTATACATAAGGCTATAGGGTTCTCTCCGGAACTCACCAGGGCTTTTCTCTGGCTCCCAGGCAAAGCCGTGTGGCGTAGCCAGAGGTTTTGGCGCCCGGGGGAAAGAGTAGAAAATTGCGCCCCCTCCCCCCAAATTATAATTATAATATTTTGAAAAAAAATTGATAGGCCTATTGGTTGTAGGCCTATAGACTTAAAGCATATCCTTACCGTATGTCCATATCATGCACTGTCTAAATTGTCTGTTTCATCACGCTCAAAGCAGATAGTCTCGCTTTTCCCATCGCAATGGCTCTGAGATATGGCAGGATGAGCTTTAGTCATGTAGCATTACAGAATAGGGTAAAAAACAAGAGATAACGGTCGAAATGGACTGAAAAGAAATAACAATCTATAAATTTGCCAATAAAAACAACTATCTTCAGATTCTTATTATTAACTGGAAAATAGGCGCCTTACGCTGACGGTTTATGGTCTGGTTGCTATGGTTTTTGTGACGTTCAGCGTGTAGGGACGCACGTGCGCTTAGAATGTCGATGCCAGAGTTATAACCTTTGATGTCCCGAGATGTGCGTCCTTTTGTTAAATTACCTTGATCGAAGCAACAGCCTAATGTGTATACTCGCGCGAATAAGCGCCCGGGCGCTTTAAATATTTTTTTGCACTTTCTGAGGGGCGCTTATTCAAACGGGGCGCTTATGAAAACAGTGGAAAATTAAGGGGACGCTTATGGAAATACTGTAGAATGTTTTTTATGGGAACGTATTAAATTCAAGAGGCACTTTTTGAATGAAAACAAATTATATAAGGACATTACGAATGGTGGTGCGGCGGAAAAGAAAATGGCTCATGAGGAATGCTGTGAATATTTACATGCAATTAGTGGTGGTAGGTAGTGGCTAGCTTGTTCGGCCATCGGCCGATTGAGATTAGCAGGATGGCAGGATCTTTGCGGGTTTTAATTAAGCATCGTCTGGCTTCAAGGCACATTTTGGAAATGGCCAAAAAATGTTAATTGAATGGACCCCATGGTAATAATTACGAAATGTAAAAACCCCAGCTACCGTGATTACTCATTCAATGGTAACTGGTCTACACCGTTTATTTGCTCTCTCTCCAATGCCTGCTGTAAACGAGAGTGCATCGAACTAACAAAACCACTACAGTTTAACTTCACTCTGATTTTAGGCCTTTTGCAGGGTCACAGATCTATCGGGATTCACAGACGGTTGCGTGAACATGTCGAAATAAAAAGACTTGCAGAAAAAAAGAAAAACGCGTGCAAGATCGGCTTTCAGCAAGGTGTTTTTATGGGAGAATCCTGCTAGATCAAAGGTCCGCTAGATCGGATAAAATAATAGTATGTGCTGCAGGAAAACATTTAGTATAAATTAGAACATCCGATGGCCGCAGGCACAAAATCTTTCGTGTCGGAGAGAAGCGTTACTCTGCCACAACTCTAACAGTAGAATGTCTCCGAGTTTTCTGGCCTAATAATACCGGAAAATAGAGTGTAAATAATATTGCAGTCCAACTTTTGATGGCCCATCATTTTCGCCTGGCCCACAAGGCTTGTACCTTATTTGCCTAATGGTTAATCCGGCACTGGAGAATGTGCTAAAGGCGCAAATTGTCGGAAAAAGAAAAAGAGGAGTAGGATTAGGCCTAGAAAAATATGTAAGCGGAAAGTTGGAAATATACTGTCTGTCCATGGATCGGAGCTGTCATCTGTCCAAGAGACCTATCCTCTTTTTGATATTGACCTAAGAAGAATGTGATTTCACTCTGCAGCTCAAATCATGCCAATAACCACGGTCCCAGGATTGATTGGATTATTGACTTTGCCACTTATCGTTTGTAGTTCCGCATTTACAATTTTCGCACCCCACCCCCACCCGAAATGGGAACGAACCTACCCTCGATTCCTGATATGCACAAAAACTAATTTCAGTCTTGCATCTCATTGTAGTATCATTGGTACCGGTCACTTTTCCAACTGTTTTGTTAAAGGTGGCTATGTCTTAAAAGATCTACTAGAACTTACTGTAGCCTCCTTCCATACAATGTATTTGTTTTAATGTGCATACTTATTTACTGTATTACTGTATTGTATGGAAAATAAATGCATATTTGATTTGATTTGATAGTAAGACCTACCTCGCAGTTTTGGTGGCTAGTGGAAAAGCCAACAATGGTCAAATAAATGAATTAATTAATTAATTTAATTAATGGATGGATGGAAAAATGAAAGGATGAATGAATGAATTTAGGGTTGTCAGTGATGACAATCCTAATTGAGACGGTTTCGATCGTGGAAGGCGCTATATAGGCCTAAATACAAAACCATTACCATCACCATTACCATCATCATTGAATGATGAATGAATGAATAAATGAATGAATAATGAATGAATGATGTAGGCTATCACACATATACATGTATTCGTATACATTATTCTCATTAGCATAATATCGTTGTCGTTAAATTTAAAATCATCATTACAGTACAATAAATTACCATCATCATCATCATTACATTTATCTAGCTGGATGGCCGAACGGTTAATGCAGGGGGCTGTATCCTAGGCAATATTAAATAGCAACGTATTCGAACGATAATATGGTTGTTGCTCGGAGTTGTTTCGACACGAATCGCTACAGAAATAAACAATTACGGTATTTTTTGTTATTTATTGTTACTGATAATAGTATAAATAATTATGTTCAAGATTTAACCTTAATAGGCCTATGTCATTAAGAATAATATTTGACTGAAAAATGTTTACCCAATTCTGTATTTTCTGTATTTAATTCCAATAAATACAAAAAGGCATAGAAGCACCAACGCTCCCAGACTTGCTGCCAAAATAACCCACCAGTGAGCGTCAGGAATAGAGCCGCCGCACAACACTTCGAAATCAATCTCGGCCACCTGCTTAGACTTAAGGCTTTGAGGGCTACCACAATCAATCAATTGGATATTCTTCAGGATGTTAGTAGAGTTTTCTTCACGCAGCCAGTAATGGAACCACTCTAGGTCACAATCACAATTATAGGGGTTGTCGAAGAGACTCAAGCTAGTCAACATCAGCAAGTTCTGGAGTCCAACAGTTTTCGTGATTGTTGTCAGCGAGTTTCTGTGAAGCGCAAGCAGGGTGAGATTATCTGTACCATGGAACATGGCGTCCGGAAGAACCTTGATACTATTACTATCCAAATTTAGGGTTGTCAGAGACGTCAACTTCTGAAATAGATTAGGTGGGATATCTTTGATTTTATTTCCCGCCAAGTTCAACAACTGTAATGCGTTCAAGTTGAGGAAGGCGTTTGGGACGATTTTTGTAATTCCACACATTTCCAGATGCAAGTGCGTCAATTGAAACAGGTTCCGAAACCAGTTCTGGTTGATGAAAGTAATATTCCGATTGTAATCCATTTGGAGATGGGTTAAGGACATTAGATTGCTGAAGGCATCAGCGTGGATTTTCTCGGATACCAGTTCATTCAGGCCAAGAAGAAGTGTTTCTGTTGTGTTCGGGAATGAATTTGACGATAAACCAGTAATCATGTTATTACGCATTTTTAACACCACAGTGTCTGCTGGCAGTTCATTTGATGGTACAGAGATTATTCCTTTTTTATCGCAGGTGACAATGTGCCGATAACGGACGAAGGAATAGTTAAAATTGTGATACAAACAATACACGCACTGACATTGGATTCTTGGACAGACATTAAAACTATCTGGTATAGCTTCTTGAATATAATATGGATTAGTCTCATTGCAAGGCACATAGGCAAGCGTTGATACTACAGCTAGGATAGCGACTGTTAGGCCCGCTACTAATTTTATCGTCATTTTCTTGCTGTACTGGATAAGGAATGCGGTTATCTGCATTATGTGCTGTGCTATTATTATAGTATGTACTTGAAACCTTTCAGTTTACTGTAATTGTTACACAGATTGGGTCATTTTTTGCTGTGCTGGATAAGGAAGTAAGATGAGCAATGTTGTAAAAAATAATTTCACTTTGACATAGAAAAAAAATATCTTATTATAAAATTCAGTGCCCCATCCCAGAATTGTCTCCTAAATGAAATTGTTTTGTCTGAGGTATTTTATTTGCTTTGTGTTCTATGTTATTTACTTAGTTTGGTAAATGTTTGTTTTGATTATTTTACTCTTTTGTATAAAGATGCACCATTGAATAGATGTGTGCCGCTGATTTTATTTCAAATAAAATCTGAAATCTTGAACATCTGATAATTTTAGTTTGTAGAACCCCAATTAATAATTAAAGGGACACACGTTGATGTTTTTACTTTTACTTTATTAGTTTTTGTATATTTATAGTCTACTCAATTTCAATTTTCGCTTTTGAATTTCTTACTATTTTGTATAATTCAATCGCTGCTATACTTTGATTCAATCAAAGTTACAAAGTATATAGTCCACCAGAAACACGGATTTGAAGCACCAAAGTTAGACATAATTGAAACAAACGTTTTTTTTATGAATATATATAGTTATATTTTATATCTACAGCATACAAAAAGTTTACCAAAATATACCATAATATATACTATAATTTTTTATAGTAAGGAAAACTGAACTATTTCACTGGGCTTATTATACGCCCTGCCTACGATGTGTGTGCCGTGCCTTGGTTACGAAGCGCTTTAATTTTGATTGGTTAACATACATTCAACAGTATGCGCGTACTCTTTTACGCAACATGTACGTACGTACGTATGCAAGTTCGTACGTACGTCACGCCCCAGAATGTAAACACGGAAGTAAAACTGAAATTGTTAGATAGTAACCTCTGTAATATTTAATTTCAGCGTAGATGGTTCTACAAAAACCGAAAGGTCCACTGATTAATCTCAGATAAGATAGTATAATACATACTCCAAGTATCGAAATGCACGCCATCGTGTCGTGATTCAATATTTCGACATTAATTATGTCATCATCAGGTTCTACAACAATAATTCAATTTTAATTTTAGATACGATAATAGGTACGATTAATTGACAAAATAAACGAAGTACGGTATCCACTGGAAAAAAATTCCATTATCTGCAGACGGATCCATACACACACACACACACACACACCCACACACACACCCACACACACAC